CTTGGGGATCAACTGGGGATGGCTAGGCTGGACCTAAGCCGTTGTGAATCGGTTCATTCAACACTTTCCTCATCTGTTAGAATGATATTGAATTAGGGATAATTTTACTTGACTTTTGGATATGATCCATGATGTGTACACAACTGATAGAAAACTGACTGACCTGAAATATTCTAGACAACATTTGCCAAGGACCTTGACTAAAGTTGACTACTTGGTCCTTATCAAATGTTGAGTAGTATAGTTAAACTCAACCCTATGTTACATTTCAATAACATGCCTGCAAGTCTGGGTCACATAAAAAAGAAAGAAAAAAAAAGAGCATTTGTTTCTGTTCTTTTTTCACCCCGGTCATTTTTAATGATTACAACTCTGTAACCGCTCAACCAATTTCATAGCTTGGTTGCATTGCATAACATATTTTGACTGAAGGCCTGGGAGGTGAATACTGCTGTGGAGACTGACATTAATGTGTATATTCCCTGTCCACTTTCAATTACCAGGCGATACTGCACCACCACTTACTCTCCCATGTAATGGGGTTTGTCGTGTCATCCTCGATTATCCAGGCATTATCTCCATTCTATCCTGATACACTCCTTGAACCCTTTTGCAACCATAATCTGGTTTTGAGCCCGATTCTAATGGTACTGCGCTAGAAATAGCTGTCCAATCAAATTACTACCACGAGAGAGAGAAATTCTGTGCTTAAGGATTGGAGAAATGGAGATGCTGACGATGAAGCTATGGTGGCGAATGGGTCAAAGACATTTATTGTAACATTATGGAAATATAATACACTGGATACACGAGGATGGTCCCACATGGCCTGGAGCCGATCATTGGCTGTTATAGTGGGAATAGCAGGACCCCATTACACAAAGATATCTCGGCTCTACAAGTATTATTCCTATACTTCAACATAGACTTGCCAGTCTAGCACTAAGATTACTTTGAGAAATAAACCCTTGGTTCCGTCAACCAAATCATCTTAACTTCAAGGTATCTTAACGCTAAGACAAACTCCCAAACTTAAAATGGTCCCTAAGAACTTATACAAAAGCAATCTTAGTGATACGATTATTGTAAGTTAATGTTAAAGTTTTGTAATTACGACTATTACTTACCATGACTTAATTAATAACCATAACATTTGACATGTCTTAGTGCTTTATGAACGGGTCTTAGTGCTTTATGAAAGGGTGTCCTGTATGTAAAGGTATTTCCATACACAGTAGCCATTTTAACCAACTGATTCCCTGAAACCTTGGTTGGGTGATGCTTCTTTCCTAACACATCCTTCTACATGTCTTATTGTGTTCTTCAGGATGAAGTGATAATAAAATAGTTAAAAAATACCATTGCTTTGCCTGAAGGCTTACAACAGAAATATCAAAATAGCCGCTTTGTCTATTCCAAACAGACGATACTTCTGCAAAATAGAGGACTATTCATTCAATGACAATGCAATGCTTGAGGCTTGTAACAGCACACCAAGAAAGTTCTAATGATAAATAAAATTACTCTTCTTAACAAATAACAATATCTACAATTATACTTCAAAAAAAGGCTTTACAACTCTATGTCAACCATATCTATCTGCCATTTACAATTTGTAACATAATAAAATGGACACTTAAGTTGACTATCAAATAAATTTCTCTCCAACACAATTATCAAAATAAAACAATCCTCTAATTTATGCATTTTTAAGAAACAACATTTCTGTACACATGGTTTATAACTGTGACTTCAAGACAAGATATTTATAGATTAACATATTTTAACACTTATTAATATGAAAATTAACAATTTAAGAAGATTATTGGATTTCTGATATCATGATTAAATTCAACCGGTTTCCTTTATTGACCAACTAGATCTATACACTTGATTAACATGCAAAATTTTGAGAAAAAATACATTTGCTCTACATACCTAAAATAACTATTGACGATGCATGAATGGAAAAAAAATATTCTGGATTCTTTTTTTCAAATTATCAATACATAGTTATTATCCCTTCTGAAAGTCCACACCAACAACCACAGTATTTTGATTACAAAACACACCAAATATTAACAATGATAAAGTTCCACTGTTTCGAAGGTAAATGACCATTTAGAAATAGTTCCACACAATGAAAGGGTGCATATATATGACAGCACAAATTGTAACTGGTTCAGTAACGATGAAACATCACTCACTGGCATTGTCAACAAAACTCAATTTTGATCATACTTTTCATTAACAAAATAATTTCAGACAATATCCAATATTGTATTTCATAATGGATTAATATTCCTGCAAAGACAACATTTTCTAGACTATGCTACAGCTACTAATAACAGTTGGTATATTCAAAATATACATGGATTAGATTTAAACATTAAAAAACACTATGTGGTGTTCATTATTTCCATTAGCCACATTGACTAGAATCACCATCGTCATCCACAGGATTCCATTTGGCATTTTAGCATCACATAAACCTACAGGTACAACACATTGGAAAATAATATCTGGACATTAAATATTCAAATTTTGAACCAGATTTTTCTTCTCCTAAATATCAATGTATCAGAATACGCTGGGGGTGTTCAAACTATTGTCAATAAAATTAGCAACAGCAAAACCTTGCAAGCAGAAGACTAAGTATATTCTAACAGGTTCAACATAGTTACACACAGGTGGGTTATCTTCCTGAGAAAGTAGACATTCATTCATACATGTAGACATCCAGCTATTGACCTGGTTGTGCCAGGTTCAGATATACACATTCACCAGTCAGTACCGACATAAACACTGAAACCATGGGAGACAACTCTTCACAATATCTAGTAGATTGACTCCTAGAATAATTGGGTAATCAATCAATGTGGACATTCAAACTGATTATCGATTGCCACATGGTTAATCCGTAAAGGAATTCCATATATTAACTTTGCTGTTTGAAGACCACTAGGGCTATTGTTTCCAAAGTAACTGATAACAGACTGTATTGGGCTTGTGTTCTTTTATTGCACTAAACGATGTCACTGATTTCGTACCTGTGAAGATCCGGGGTAGAATAGGACTTCAGCAACCCACACTTGCCGTAAAAGGCAACTATGCTTGTCGTAAGAGGCGACTAAGGGGATCGGGTGGTCAGACTCGTTGACTTTGTTGATGCAAGGATCTGCTAATCATGAGTCCCAGATCCAACCTGAGATTGATGGTCTGTCAGCACCAAGCCATGCTCATAGGTTTTACCAAAGAATTTAACATCTACAATCTGCATCCCTGTAAGGCTCCTCTCCCAAAATAAGCAGACACCTTTGACCTAACTGAACTACTGTTCAAAGGGGTGTCTCTCACTTCATTCCACACCCTCCTGTGCCCAGTCAACTGTTCTTAATAATAGCAGTCCCTGACCAAACCACAGATCCTTGAAACACAAAATAAACACTTAAAGTTCAAGATTGCCACCAGGGCATTTCAGTTGTGCATGAAAATCACAACCAATCATTCAATGTCGAAATGTCTTATCTTATGTAATACACACAATCAGCCTAAAGTTGAATATCTGCATCAGTTTCCTGGTAGAGGATAGCAACACGGGTGAGATTCTACTTCCAAATTGTGAGTGAGTGGGTTGGGTTTAACGCTGCTTTTAACAGTATTCCAGTTATATCACAGCATGTCAGCTTAATGTGGGAGGAAAGCACGAAGTGATGCAGGTCTCAGACAATTACATCTTCGGTGAAACCCACGAGCACGGGTATGGTGCTGACAAACCTAGAAACATAATTGTGGCGAACCTGGATTCAAATCCACAATCACAGGTTTCTGGCGTGCCCAAGGGATGCAACTCTGCACAGCGAATCGCGGTGCCTTAGACGACTGGGCCACCCGTGCCTCTGCACAGTGCTGATGTAGATCAAAGAGCAGCATAATTCTGACACAGCCCTAATGTTTCATCGTCTTAAACATTATTTCCCTTTAAAAGAGTAAGTCAGGTTTCACTCCATATTAAATCTACACAGAACTTTTAACATTTGAAGGCTTAATAGTCCTTTATCAGAGAAACATATAGAAAGAATACACTAACATTTAGTTTCTGAGATGAAAAATAAATAAAATAAATACCGTATTCGACGTAATAAGCGCCCAGGGCGCTCTCAAAATTAGAAATAGGGGGCTCTTATTAGAATATTATGTTGGTGAAAAAAAAAGAGTTGAAAGATAAATTTCATGGTTTATAGTGACAGCCTGAAATGTTTATGTACGACAGATATATTTTGCCAGAATTTAATTGCCCACAATTAAGGGTTCATATAACACACGAGTGTGTATTATATGCGAATAAAAAAGTCTTGTGTACATTGATCAATCGGAAGGGGTGCTAATTGGGATTGTTCACTAGCCAATATATCAGCAAATATCGCCATGGGCGCTTATTAGAGTGGGGCACTTATTACGTCGAATACGGTAGTTATTTTGTCTTAAAATACCATGAAACTTGGTTCAGACCCTTTAATGTCAATCACTGTCGGACTTGCTAATATATACTACTCAACAGTAAAGGACAACCCGTTTTTATATTACCGTATTCGACGTAATAAGCGCCCAGGGCGCTCTCAAAATTAGAAATAGGGGGCTCTTATTAGAATGTTATTTTGGTGGAAAAAACAGAGTTGAAACATAAATTTCGTGGTTTATGCTGACAGCCTGAAATGTTTATATACGACAGATATATTTTTCCAGAATAAAATGCCCATAATTAAGGGTGCATAAAACACACGAGTGCATATTATACACGAATATATAAGTCTTGTGTACATTGATCACTCGGAAGGGGTGCTGATTGGGTTTGTTCAATAGCCAATATCTTAGCAAATGTCACCGTGGGCGCTTATTAGAGCAGGGCGCTTATTACGTCGAATACGGTACTATAAAAGCATCAGGTGGTCCTTAACTTCTTTTGAGAAGTATATGCATACAAGGTACTTTATCTTTTACCTATGATTCCTTATCCTGACATTTGTTAATCCAGATTTGCAACACTATCATCCAGAAGAGTGGGGTTCAAGTTAATGATAGAGAGAAGCTTAGAGGATATCTCATTTTCAAACTGAAGAAATCTAGACTTGTCGAACTATTATAGACTTACTGGGGTAATTTGGATATTTTGTCTGTATGACAGATAATGCCAACACAATTAACTCTTTATAGCACTTGATTCTATGCTGTAAGATGTCACCATGTTTCCAGCAAAACTGCCCCTGCATCTCAAAAATACCTTGAAATCTACATCAATATATTTCAAACATTAAAACAGCTGACACGTCTTTTCATAATTCATTGTTATTAAAACAATTTCACACCACACAAACCATTCTTACACCTCATACAATAAAATTATAGGCTTGACTGACACACTGATCATAAAAGAAGAAAAAATCACATCAGAGTAATTGGTAAAATCAGATATAGCACAGCCATAACATAACACAAAACAAAACACATGCTAAAACAAAGTCTCTACCTGTTAAGTACACTTGATGGCGCTGAAATATATACACACAATGTACTTCTTGCCAGAGAATGAAGAGGGACAATTTCCACATGAAAACTCATTGTTATAATACACCAGACTATACTGAAACATACACCTCGTCACGGTCAAACACAACAAGACATCAACAGCAGTGGTATGGATTTCACCTGTCAATCAACAGGTGAAATAGATTAGTAAGTTGTCAAACTGATTACAATTCTTGGCTATGTACACTCGAGTAATATACTCCATGTGTGAGATGTGTTGGAGCTCATTTGTTCAAACATGATTGATCTATATGATGTAAAAAATGTACAGTAGTGAAATTTACAATGGTTTTTTAACAGCACAATAACAATAAACAACGCCGTGACCCCTTTGGTTTCAGACCATGTAAAAAGAAACGCCAGCCTCAAAAATTTACTTGAAGCAAGCTGTCGTATCCAAAGTTCAAATTGAAATAACAGAATGTATACTACTGAAAAAAAGTTAACGATTCTTTCATACTACTTTGGTATGACAGATTCACTATAGAATTTAAAAAGAATCAGGTGGTGCTTAACTTTCTTTTAGTAGTATATTAACTTGAACAAATGAAGAAACGCCATCCATCTCATTTCATGTAAGTTATGCTCTATATCATGAATATATAAAATAACTTTGATTTTCTATCATGACATAAACAGGCACAACTTAAGAATTTTATTCACAGCAAATTAAATGATTAATTTGTTCTTGAACATAAAAAAAGTTCTAAGTTTTGAATGACAATAAACTTTAAAAAATAAATACTGCAAATTTACAATCGCCTCAAATTTTTGGCATCAAATTCTGACAACACTCGTCTTCCACTTGTGTATTTAGTTAATTTTCCATTTAACAACATATTATGCTTAAAGTAATACTTTTAGTTGCAGAGCACAGTTGCTAATTAGATGGCATGAGAACCTGAAAATATTTCCATAGGATGGTGGATACAAGAAGCTCAATCATTAAGGTATGAAAATATTACAATTAAGTCAGAGCGTATGGTTTTATGCCGCTTTTAGTAATATTACAGCAATGCCACGGCAGAGGACATTAGGGTGAGTGTGTATGGTTTTACGCCGCTTTTAGCAATATTCCAGCAATATTACGGCGGCGGACACCAGAAATGGGCTTCACACATTGTACCCATGTCGGGAATCAAACCTGGAGCGAACACTTTAACCACTAGGCTACCAGACCGCCCCCAGAGGACATGAGGAATTAGCATCACTCACTGTACCCACGACGAGCAGCTTGTTTGACCACCATGATACCCCTCTAAGTATTGAAGTAACAGCTAAACTCAATCACCAGGAATGACATGAGTAGAATTTTTAAAAATATTTTTTGTTAGACAAGTAGCATCTCATTATTCCCGACTCCCCAAATATGTATACCTCCTGTGGACATTTGACATGATTAACAGAAGATTCAGAACTTGTTAACTTGGCAAGATAAGATTGCAATGTTTGCTGTCTGGGGACTATACACTTTTTACATGTTCTCCTTACGTCCAACTGCTGACAACACAATGTATGTTTAATTCTCTATACATGGAACTGTCGTCGCTACAGAGGGTGTCATGTCACACACTGGAATAGACCCCATCTTGTGTATTTGTGTATTTGCTTGCATCATTCTCATCAAGTGCAGAGATGGATGATTTCAATGTTACTGAATCTATTTTTAGATGACAACCATAGCAGGTTTCCCTTTAGTCAAAAACCAATATCTTTGCACGGTCAGGATAATAATTTCCTTTACAATACAAGAATACAAGTTGAAAAGATAAGCCAGACAGAAATTAAGAAAAGTCTTCTCTTCACTTTTAAATCCAGAACAGGAATGGTTTTTTAAATGAAATCTGCAACATTTTCTTCTCACAAAGCTTGGCAAGACTCATGTATTGTCTTATTGATGATTGTCATATGTCGCTATCCTTTAACATATATCAGTAACTTTCTTTGAACTGAACAGACAACATCAGGATATTGACCATATTTGTTTCATATCAAAAGACCTTTTGAACTGTTGTGTTTTATCAAAACTCTAATAATGACTGGGAGGTTTTTACTTAAGGAACGGTCAGTCATTAATCAATCACTTCTTTTCCCGAATGTGCCGACCTTCCAATACATGGCTATGGTTAATCATAGTAACAATAGCCATCACAAAGGATAGATTGACTATATACACATGCTGGCTATAGTCTACAAAATAATATTCATTTCAAAACGCCAAGATTCTCGTCCTCCTGAGAGAAGAAATATTGAATCTTGAATATCTGCCAGTCTTTAAGAAACACCAACTTCAAGGTAACCATGGCAACATCTGGTAAAGCACTGATTTGTTTAACCAATCACAATAAATAACAAGTGTTTTTTTTCCCTCGCAGGCTACACTGGCATTGAGACAGAGAACAGAATATGAAACGAATTGTTTGAAATTATTAAAATTGACTTCTCCATTAAATCTTCTATGGCATCAGATAAATTGCAAAGATCATTCATAATCACTTAAAATCTAAATCAGTGCTTGTAATTTAACTTTTTGCACAATACCATGAACTACCATTTATAGGCCATCTATTTTTTTAAATGACCTACAAATTTTCTCTAGTGAAACCTTAGGTCAGTGGTTGAAAAAAATAAATAAACAAAATTACACCTGTTATTGAGTTTTAAAATTTGTAAAAAATAGCGTCGGTGGGATATAAATATAAAACAATTTCAAATTCTCTATTTTTCATTTCTTATTTTATCAAAAAGTGACAAGAATGTTACATGTGAAAAGTGTTTTAACGAGAACAAAAACTGTGTAAGGCAGGGAAAATATTGGTCACATTTTTTCCGACAGTCTGTTGCAGTACTAAAAAATTAAAATATTTTTTTTCCACATTCCTAATTTTTAATGTCAGGGAATTTGTACACCAAAGAAGATAAAGAAGCCTTAGGATTATTTCATCAGATGGACGCTTTGAATGTCTGTTCAACCCAACCAATATTAACCTATGAACACACATCTTGTGAAGTTACATCATCATTACAAACGAAGGCCTTTCAGTGACTGAGGAATGTGCTTGTCAGGCGTATCTCATCTATACAGAGTAAACTCTGTCAACATAACACTGGAAATGGATGAAATCAAGCTAGTTTTGTCGTAGCTAACCATTCAGTGGATCACATAGAATCTCAGTGCTCATACAAATACTAGGAAATAACTAGGACAATAATTTGTAGTTTGATTTGTCATCCTTGTGACTATCATGAATAACAATAATAATCACAATCTACATCATGCCCATGCATTAGTGTAATCATCAACAGCTGTTAATTCCACATGATACAAACAGCTGGTCTTGCACATTTCGTCTTGTACATCAAGCTTCTCTATAAAACATCCAGTAACCATGGCAACCTAACTCCTGATAATGCAGTTTGTTATGTCTAAGAGGCAATCTTCATTTGTCATCTTGACTTGTCAGCTGTCAAATATATTCGAGGTTCAGTATCTGACTAAACTTATCAATCAGCTTTCAAGTTACACTGTTCATGTCTCTGTCTTGGGTCTCTACTTTGGTTCCTTGCAATCTCAATGAAATCAGATCTTTTACTCCGATACAATATTACTGTGTGAAGATCTCACAACCTCAATAGAAGGCTGTGTTAGGTGAATCCTGAGTGAACTTTGACTTCACAATGTAAATGAAAGATTTGTGGATTCTTGAGTCAATCAGATGTCAGCTTTCTGAAATGATTCGCCTTCATTTCTTTACTATCTTGATTTGGTAATTTAAATATTAACAAAAGAGAAACAACACAGAACACAAATATTCCTTCAAAGGTACTCTTTTGAGGTGTAGATTCAATGGTGCTCAAAAATGATGGTGTAGCCTTTTTTATTTACATTTGGAACTATCCATTTAAGTTCATTTGTTGGAGAGAACCGAGATATGCTGGTCTGCTTTGCTCACTTGTACCGAGGATTTAGGAACCTTCAGATTAGATTGTCAGATCTTCACGCAGAGAGGTATCGCATCAGAGTGAAAGATCTGATTTTAATGTGATTGGGTAGCTAGTGCTCTCTTTCTCACATATCTTACATAATTGGCCAACATATTTGAAATTGTGCTGATATTATTTTTAATGAGTCATTTCAATTTTTCATTTATGTTTATTTGGTAATCCTAACAAGGCTTCAATCCAATACCATTTCAAATTTAGGTTAATCAATCAAATTTTGTAGCAATCATATTTATTTTTATTTAATTTTCACCAAGTCTGTATCGTTAATATTCTGAGTTCACCAAATGCAGCCTTCAGATCTTAATGCAGAGAAGCATCGTGGGGTAACATATCTGATTATGAGATTGGCTGAAACATGCCTTAACAATCACTAATTGTCATCTGTGTGTACATATAAATGCGTACATTTCTAAGTACAACATTTTCAATAATGTGCTCTTGTGTTTTTTTCTGTCAACTCTTTTCAATGTCACATCTCCCCACCCACATGGTAAATATTCGGTCTCAGACTTTGGAATCTTGGATTTTCTCCATCTGCAACCTACCCTAGTCGTCCTGTTGCTGTCAGTATTCGGTACCTTCTACAGCAACTGTGTCTTCTCTCTTTCACTTCAAATACTACATAACAGTGGAAACAATCAATTGCGTTCAAGTCGTGCCTTGCCTATTCCACAAAAATGTGCAACATGACGTCATGATAACAATCCCCCCCACAACATATCACATTTTGTCATCACCACGACACACACATTGTCAAGACTGTGACACACATTGTCATCACTGTATGACACACATTTTCTTGAGATCGGACTCGCATTCGTCATCAATTTCGGACATATCTGGTTCTTTCCCTGTCACATCTGGCATGAACTTGCTTGGGTTGAGTTGCCTCCGTTCATAGAATAGAATATATGCAGAGTTTGTGTCAAGCTGGGCTTCAGGGATTTCCTGAAAACAAAAGCAAAAATAAAAATTTGAACAACGGTTCTAGTGTTAAATCTCCATAAAACAATAAAAACATTCTATTACACAGTACAGTTTGCATTCTCAGCTCCCTGGGCAGTATGGAAGCAAAGTTACCCATTTGGCAAAGTTCTGTTTTCAAATCACTCTCATCCTACCGGGTACCCATTCACTGCTGAGCGAACAGGGGCAACAATTACACATGCCTTAGGAGACACCAAATGTTCACTTGTATTTACTGGATCACAGATTCCACTGACCCTACAAGTAGATTTATTTTAATCCAAAATTTACCTTTTGTTTTTTCACAAAACACGTCACATGCTCAAATATAGTTGGTTGTTACACATTGTTAAGTAATCAAGGACTCTAATACAGAAGTCAGATGTTCAATTGACATTTACATGTTGCCAAATGTGTACCTTGCCCTTAGTCTTCCGAGAAAAGCCGACAATTCACACACTCAAAGTTTGAAGTGAGTGAGTGAGTTGGGTTTAACGCCGCTTTTAACAGTATTCCAGTTATATCGCGGCGTGTCAGCTTAAAGTGGGAGGAAAGCCCGAAGTGATGCAGGTCTTAGACGTTTACCACTTCGGTGAAACCCACGAGCACAGGTATAGTGCTGACAAACCTAGAAACATAATTGGGGCGAACCGGGATTCGAACCCACAATCATAGGTTTCTGGCGTGCCCAAGGGACACAACTCTGCACAGTGAATCGCGGTGCCTTAGACGACTGCGACACCCGTGCCACCCAATGTTTGAAAACATAAAAAGGCAAAAGTCAGAAGACAATGGCAGGAAAAAAAAGTTTCCTAAAACTTGTCCTGTGTTACGTTATTGAGGTGCAGTTTTTTAGGGACGGCCTGATACCTCATGTAGAGACTTACCATAAGCCTCTAGTCCAAAGCCTGTGTCAAGTAAAATTCTGTTTGGTCTAGTAAGCTCAGCTTATGATAGTACAAATAAAAACATTAAATTCTACTGAAAAAGGTGCTAAGAGCCAAGTTCGGGCTAGTAGTGTCAAAAGATCCTGGCACAGACAACCCTTCTATAGTACTCACCTTACAACTACTGTCATTGTAGCAGTACCACCGATTGTTGGGGTTCTTGGCGTACGCTACATAATGCCCTCCACCCAAGATCCCCGTGTGACACTGAAACAAACACACAGTGTCAAAGTCTCCTGTACTCCAGCTGCCTGTCTAGCCATACATGTGAAGGAGAGTCTACACTGCTCTGAGGGGACAGTGTTCCCGCTGGCTTTTGAAACTGCCAGTCCTGGTGGACTGGTAAAACTAAACATTACCAGTCCCTTCCTAATTTCTGTCAGTCCAAATTTTCAACAATTAAAAAGAACGTATAAAAATTACCTGGTTTTAATTCATTCAACATGACATTATCTCTGAAGTAATGTAGTTAGATCTACACGTTATTCACACAAAGTTCAGTCACTATTTTCTCTTTTTATTATATTTCAAGACTAAGTCGCTACAAATATATATTTAACCTTGAACCAAAGCAAAATGTTATTTCCTTGCACTATAAATAGACAAGGGGAAACCCTGAAGGCAACAGATGAGCTGACTTCATTTGAAAAATGTACTTATATGAATATCGATGATGTTTTGTTCAACAACAAAGATTTATAAGGTTCTTTATATGCCGGTCCACAGGGACTGGCAGTCACATGAATTACCGGTCCAGGCCAAATTTTACCGGTAAAAAACTGGTAATTACCAGTAAACGGGAACAGTGGGTGAGGTGAAATTGGGTTTAATGTCACATCCAAGATGATTGCACTTATATAGCGATGCGCATGTATGTGTGTGTGTGTGTGTGTGGCTGCTTGTACTAGTCCGGGCTGATGCTGATTTATAGTGCTAGCTCACTGAGATTAACACAAATACCCCACTCAGTCGCAGTTTACTGACTCTGAGCCAGCCAGTCCTTGTTTTAGCCCCTTTATGCCGAGCGCCAGACAGGGTAACAACAAGTACCATCTTTTAACGTCTTTTGGTAGGACACGGCCGGGGATCGACCCCCGGACCTTCCGCTCTCCGGGCGGACGCTCTACCACTAGACCACGGAGGCTGTCCCACTGCTCTGAGCAGTATTGCAGCTAGGACCCAATCTCCTGATATCAGACCTTGTAACTAATACCTCTCTGTGTGTGGTGACTTGAGGACACCTCCATAGGAGTGAGATCACATGAACCATCTGATCAGCCAATCATAATGCTTTAAAATTCTCGGTTCAAGTGAGAGAAACATTTATACAAGCATATCTGATTTCTGTATCCGAAAAAAGAATCATAATCAGTGCACAAAATTATTTTTATGATATTTCATTTTCACCAAGTTGCAGAAATTGTATTTTTCTGACATATCAAGTGAAAACAGTTTCAAAATGTGACACCCTTCTCTGAGAGAGGATGAAGATGTACTCACAGACATGGAGCAGAGATCATATTTGACGTCGGAGTAGTCCTCCTCCGGGTAGTCTGTGGTTGTTCCTGGGGAGCCACATCGAGCTAGAGCTGTGCACTTCTTCTCTCCCCCATCTGCAGCAGCATCACCACCGCAATCTGACCACAACAAACATCAAGTGTCATACCACCTATACCATAGGATCAGCCATACCACATACACCACATCACTTGATTTTCAGTTCGTTGTTTAAGGCTGCACTCAGCAATACTCCAGCTATATGATGGTGTCCTGTAACTAATCGAGGATAGACCAGACAATCAAGTGACTGATATTATGAGCAATAATCCACATTGTCTGGGTACAATGACACACAGTCAACCAATCACCAAGCCTGACTGCCTAATCCATTTGGTCACCTCTTACAGGGGCATGTGTCCATGACATAGAATATTGACCCAGTGTCAACAACATATAACACACCACCATCCTGATAGAGGATGTACGAGTGAGTGAGTGGGTGAATGAGTGAGAGAGTGTGTGTGTGTGTGATTGAGATGGTGAAGTGAGGTGAAATGGGGTTTAACGTCGCGTCCAAGATTATTGCACTTATATAGCGACGTGCATGTACGTGTGTGTGTTTGTGTGGCTGCTTGTACTAGTCCGGACTGATGCCGATTTATAGTGCTAGCTCACTGAGATACCATGCCGCAGTTTAACATGAATACCCCACTCAGACACATTATACTGACTCCGAGCTGACCAGTCCTTGTTTAAGCCCCTTAATGCCGAGCGCCAGACAGGGTAACAACAAGTACCATCTTTTAACGTCTTTTGGTATGACGCGGCCGGGGATCGAACTCCGGGCGGATGCTCTACCACTAGACCACGGAGGCGGTACTGTGTGTGATTGAGTGAGTGAGTGAATGAGTGAGAGTGTGTGTGTGTGTGTGAGTGAGTGAGTGAGTGTGAGTAAGTGAGAGTGGAGTGAGTGAGTGAAAGAGTGAGTATGTGAGTGAGTGAATGAGTGAGAGAGTGTGTGTGTGTGTGTGAGTGAGTGAGTGAGTGAGTGAGTGAGTGAGTGAGTGAGTGAGTGAGTGAAAGAGTGAAAGAGTGAGTTTGTGAGTGAGTGAATGAGCGAGAGTGTTTACACTGCTTTTAGCAAAATTCCAGCAATATCACTGTGGGAGGACACCAGAAATGGGCTTCACACATTGTACACACGTTGGGAATTGAACCCGGGTCTTTGGTGTCTCAAGCAAATGCGTAAACCACTAGGCTACCCCACTGGCCAGAGGCTGTATAGAGTATGTGAAGAGAACAGCGAGGAAAGTGTACCTGTTGTGTGTCCAGCGGAACCGTTAGGTGTTTTGGAATGTTGTGTTCCGCTAGACTCGCTGATTTCCTTTGTGATGCTCTCCCCCTCTTCCAGCTCCTTGATGTTGGCTCTCTTTGGCGTTCTCGGTGCTAGGTAGTGACTAGGATCAAAGTTCCGAGATGGGAACTTCACAATCTTGTGAGATTTCACCCACCGCCCGTTGAGAAACTGGAATCTTTTCAGGTTTATAATCTGTAAACAGACAAATGTAGAACTTAAATTCTAAAAAGAATATATGAACAGAAAGGCATATGTTCTGTCAGTGTTTTATTTGTCACTTGTGATTAAGCTGCTTAAGACAGTATTTCCATTACTCAAAAGAGTATCAGAACATTTTTAGAGACACAGGTCATAGACATTTGCCATAAAAGACATGGCTGACAAAAAATCATAACTGTAGTCAATCTGAGATTGAGAAAATGCCAAGCACATCCTGACAATGCTAAGGGAGGTAACCTCCACAGCAAATTGCAGCACCTTAAGACTTCGGGACCAACCACCCATGCCACTGTAGCTGACATAAAATTGCTGAGTCTCGTGACAGAATTGGAACCATAGACCTTCTGATCTGCCTTTGGAGCCCTGGCCACATGACGAAAATGGTAAACCTTGTTAGTAAGGTGACAAGGTAAGGATGTCATCTGTAGGCTGACCCCACACCTTACTGCATACTCCCCCGCCAACAGAAGGCATACACAGGGCTGCCTAGTAAGGTACCAAGACTTCTTTTTCTCAAAGACCATGCCCAGCCCCTCACTGGGTGCCAATGTATGGCCATAAAGTGTCCGTAATAGGCATCAAGCCACAGACTTTCTGATCAGAGGTTGGATGCCATATGACCAAAGAGGATAACCCTGTCATCAAGCAATGCAATGTCGTCTGGGTTCTCCATGCCCTGCTACCCCCCCCCCCCCCCCCCCCCCCGCCCAGCAAAGATTGATACATTCAGTAAGCCCTAAAGATGCATGGTAACCAAGAAAAGAAGCCAAAGTCAAGAAAAGTGTTTGAATACAACACTAAAATAGTTATTATCTCAAACATGTAAAGTGAGTGAGTTTGGCTTAATGCCATTTTGGACAGTATTTCAGTTACAAAATGTCAACTTAACAGTGGTTCCGATTGTCGCCATTTATCACTTTGGTTCAACACACAATCACAGGTATCCTAACTAACTATTTTAAATGATCATTATTGGGGCAAACAAATGACCATCAGATCCTGTCAAAGCTAGGGGAAGCAACTCTCTACAGCAGTTTACAGTGCCTTAGCATCAAGATCAACCTGAAAGTGTGAACCGATGTCATTGGTTGTCTCCCCACCCACCAGTATGGGAGGCAGCCTCCAGATGTCCAGCTTCTTGGACGCCAGACAGTGCTTCTTGCACTTGGAGCAGTAGTACAGCTCCTCTTCCCCGAGATCCTCCTCTTTGGTGAAGGCCTGCAGACATGTGTCAAGGTCGATTGGCTCTGTCTGCTTCCTGCGACTCTCTTCAACACTTGCATGCTCCTCAAAAAACTGAAAGTAGAGATGACAACATGGAATATCAAAATGATTTGAAGGGCGTTCACTTGAATCGTTGTTGTTTTGATAGACTTACATCTAGTCTCTGATATGAACTATTTTACAGAAATAACAGTTGTTAAATTATATTTATAAAATATTATAAAAAGAAGCCAAGAAAATTTCTTCATTTCCCGATACTGCAGTTATCTAGACTTGCCAAACATTATAGTTTTTTTGTTTGTTTGTTGTTTAACGCCGTACTCAGCAATATTCCAGCTATATGACGGCGGTCTGTAAATAATCGAGTCTGGACCAGACAATCCAGTGATACGCAAGTGACAGCATACGCAATTGGGAATCGATGACATGCATCAACCAAGTAAGCGAGCCTGACCACCCGATCCCCTTAGTCGCCTGTTACGACAAGCATAGTCGCCTTTTACGGCAAGTATGGGTGCCAAACATTATAGACTTGCATGGGCTGTATTGGATATATTTGTTTCAATGTCTCTATGACAGATTATTGTTTAGATATCCGATCTCAGTTGAGCTGATTCAAATCTGAAGTCAAATTCCTGTTGTTTGGATGTCAGAGTATTTAAGTTGTGATGGAGTCTACTTTAAAACAATTTCCTTAATTTTCCAGCGTATGAAATATACCCTGGCCCCATAACTTCATTTCATAAGTGACCTCCATCTCTAACAGAATCACTGATTGACATCATGAGCATCAATCCACACGACTGGGATTGATGACATGCATCAACCAAGTCAGCGAGCCTGACCACCCGATCCTGTTAGTCACCTTTTATGACAAGCAAGTCGCCTTTTACGGCAAGCATGGGTTGCTGAAGACCTATTCTACCCCGGATCTTCACGGGTCTGTTACAAGACATTCCAGAAATAATTTTAAATTCGAGTCATGTTTACTGGGGGTAGCGCCACTTGAAAGAACAGTATAATCTGATTTGATGTCCATCTTGGTGTGTCATTCAAACTGGACTCAAGACAAAGCTCTGGTGATGAATGGGTCCAGTGTATTTAGCATAATACAAGGGAGATATGATACACTGGAGAGTCCTGGAGGACTCTATCCTGCTCTGCTAGATGTCGACTCCCTCCACTCCTCGACTCACCCTTTCTTGAGTTGTCTGGTAGCGGAGATGCAGCGCCGTGGGCTCCCAGTCTATTGCCAGGAACGACCCCCCAAAGTTAAATAAATTAGCATTACAATCCACCTTGCATCCTCGGCAAAACCTGGAACAACAAACATACAGATGCTTAACAATGGAAAATTGTAGATTCCTTTACGTAGTGAGTCTTCCCTTTGACAAGTAATAGTAGTTGTGCAGTCACTACTATATCATGACTGGTGCACATTCTACATTATCCCACTCTCAGCCGTGTAATGAGTATCTGTTAGGACACATGAAATGTTTTGTCACAAATATTCACCAGGACGTGAGAAAGGTTTTGACTGATGTTGTGGAGTGAGTGAGTGAGTGAGTGAGTGAGTGAGTGAGTGAGTGAGTGAGTGAGTGAGTGAGTGAGTGAGTGAGTGAGTGAGTGAGTTTAACACCACTCTTAACAGTATTCCAGTTATATCACGGCATGTCAGCTTAATGTGGAGGAAAGCCCAAAGTTATGCAGGTCTCAGACGTTTACCTCTTCGTTGAAATCGACAAGCACTGATATGGTGCTGACAAACCTAGAAACATAATCGGGGTGAACCCAGGATTTGGACCCACGATCATAGGTTTCTGGCGTGCCCAAGGGACGCAACTCTGCACAGCGAATCACGCCTTAGAAGACTGGGCCTACTGTGCCCCCTGATGTTGTGGAACAGTAGACTGACAGTATTGTGAGGGTGCTTTGACCATGTATTGATATAATAATGTAAGTATCACCATCATCATCATCATACAACATCCTATGGTCAGAAAGATCATCATCATCATCATCAGGTGGGATATGCAGAAAACTTACCTATACCACGGGCATTTGGCACATGTAAACCCATCCTTCTGAACGACCTTCAGTGTGAAGGGGTATTCATAACACAGGCTGTCATCACTGTCAATGCAAGCAGAAAATCATTTAATGCTAATTATATTTACAAATATAGGCAGTTTTACAATAACTGCCACAAATGAAAAGTAACAATGTGAGGTTTTCCTGCCTTACGCATGTGCAACATAATCGGGCAGTACAAGACAATTATACATACAACTGATTATGGATAGCTGACAGTGAAGAGGAAATCGGTTGAAAATCTGAAGATTTTTAAAGAATGATGAGAGCCAAAAATAAAGGAGGACTATGGTAATGATACAACAGAGGTAGCATATTCGCCGGAGTGAGGTGAAATGAGGTTTAACATCGCGTCCAAGATTATTGCACTTATATGGCGACGTGCATGCACGTGTATGTGTGTGTGGCTGCTTGTACTAGTCCGGACTGATGCCGATTTATAGTACTAGCACACTGAGATACCATGCCGCAGTTTAACATGAATACCCCACTCAGACACAGTATACTGACTCCGAGCCGACCAGTCCTTGTTTTAGCCCCTTAATGCCGAGCGCCATACAGGGTAACAACAAGTACCATCTTTTAACGTCTTTTGGTATGACGCGGCTGGGGATCGAACCCTGGACCTTCCTCTCTCCGGGTGGACGATCTACCATTAGACCACGGAGGCGGTCATATTCGCTGGAAGTGAAGCAGTTTTTAAATGGTTATAATGCATGAAAGCAGTGACCTACCAATCTTGTGCATGATTGGCTGCTTTGGCCTCTGAGGGAGGCAGCGGACTGACCAATCGGGCGACCTGTGTCCACACAAACTTGTAGAGATCCTGGTTGGTGGTTTTCTCAACACATGGAATAATTATCGGCGTCCCGAACAAACTTGGACGAGTTTTTTGAGATGATAAGAAATATACATCCATTAAAATCTGAAAAAGAGAAATGGCATGTTAGAATTGGAATTCATTTCTGAGACAGTGTTTGGTTTTAACATTTACAAAACTCATGCATTTCTTACAATGTGTAACACATGAGATATATGATGATATTTCTTCACTGAATGAATGACGTAAGTCTCAGCCTTTGGTGTGTCAGCTTCATGTGGGAGGAGTGAGTGAGTAAGTGAGTGAGTTGGGTTTAACGCCGCTTTTAACAGTATTCCAGTCATATCGCGGCGTGTCAGCTTAATGTGGGAGGAAAGCCCGAAGTGATGCAGGCCTCAGACGTTTACCACTTCGGTGAAACCCACGAGCACGGGTATGGTGCTGACAAACCTCAAAATAAAATTGGGGCAAACCGGGATTTGAACCTGCAATCATTGGTTTCTAGCGTGCACAAGGGACGCAACTCTGCACAGCGAATCGCGGCGCCTTAGACGACTGCGACACCCCTGCCCCCTCATGTGGGAGGAAAGCCCAAAGTGATGCAGGACAGACATTTACCACCTTGCTGAAACCCGTGAGCCTTGGTATGGTGCTGACTAACCAAGAATCATAATCAGGGTGATTTTGAGTTTGGAACCCACATTTGGGCCACCCAAAAAGTTTTTGTTTGTTGTTTAACGCTTGACTCAGCAATTTTGCAGCTATATGGCAGCGTTCCGTAAATATTTGACTCTGGACCCAACAATCCAGTGACTGACATCATGAGCATCCAGCATCAAGCCTAAACACCAGATCCATTTATGTAACCTGGACTTTCAGTCAAGTGAGTCAAAACACACACAATATAGAATCTCACACAAGTATATGTAGATGTTTGATCAGAAACAATACAACAGACTAATTGTTTCTATCCCTCCTACCATTTTCCTGTGCACTCCAATAACGAAGCCATTGAACAGGGTGTCAACCCCTGACTTGATCATGCTGTCGGCGATGTTGCTAGCGCTGCTGGGACTGCGGGAGTGAGCACCTGGGGAGTCAGTTTCTGATCGGTGGGCTGGTGACACTTCAAGCTGAGGCGGTTGACCATTTGGCAGGTTGCCATTGACTGATGAAGAATTCTGTGGCTGGCGTTCTACAGGGAGAGCATATACTTCTGTATTTGTTTATGACAGGAAAACACAACACAACTAGGAATGAGCTTTTCGCAATATTCCAGCAATAACACGGCGGGGGACACCGGAAATGGGCTCTAGGAATGAGAAATGTTCTTGGAGAATAAATACTTCCTCAGGTGACACTTTTTTATTTTCGGTTTACAGATTTGACCTGCTGGTGTCAAACGAAACAATCAGAAAATAAAAAAAACAATTAAAATGTTTATTTGCATGACCTCTTTATCTTTGATGAATTGAAAGATAAGTTCAAAACATGCAAGTGTGAAAAAACAAAATCTATTTTACATTAACATGAACACAGCTGCATACCTTTGTAGAAAAAATAACCTGTAAACAAGGTGAAATAAAAACAGGTCTGAGAAATAATACATTATTTCAACTCTCAATCCAGATCTACCAACAAGACCTATGACCTACTTGATGTTAATCCTCTTTGTATTTCACTGAGCCCGATGCTCTCTTTGGTTGTGCTGATTGTGATGGTGGTGTTTGTGGATTTGGAAAGTGCCAGTTCTTCCTCTGCTGACAGAGGTTCAATTTCAGGCGTCGGTGGTAACTCGTAGGCATATAGCGTTCCTCCAAGTAATGTCCGGATCTTCTGGTTGTCTTGTGGTAATGTCTACAAACAAGAGATGAGGCTGTCAGCAAACATATTCTGTCTTGACGAGTGAGTTGGGTTTTATGCTGCTTTGGGCATTATATTAGAAAGTGGTCAAAGGCTGGCGATTTGGTGCCTCACTCTGAGAGTGTGGGTTTGACTCCCAGATGGGACTCAACCGAACTTATTTGTGAGTCTCAAGTATTCCATAATTCCCCTGATGTTTCGAGCCTTGGATAACTAAAACATTCTTCCTCATCCCCATGAGTTGGACACAACATGGTTTGACTATATTTCCAATTGTTATGAGGTGAGGTGAAATAGGGTTTTACGTAGCGTCCAAGATTATTGCACTTATATAGCGACGTGCATGCACGTTTGTACGTGGCTGCTTGTACTAGTCCGGAATCATGCTGATTTATAGTGCTAGCCCACTGAGATACCATGCTGCAGTTTAACATGAATACCCCACTCAGACACAGAATACTGACTCTTAGCTGACCAGTCCTTGTTTAAGGCCCTTAATGCCGAGCGTCAGACAGGGTAACAACAAGTACCATCTTTTAACGTATTTTGGTATGACGCGGCCGGGGGTCGAACCCCAGACCTTCTGCTCTCTGGGCGGACGCTCTACCACTGGACCACAGAGACGAAAATTCCTACAACTTGCACTATTCTTGATTGCATTTCATCATACCCAAAAGGCATTGGATGGTGCTCTTGATATCAATCACCGGTTTGTCCTGTCCTAATTCAGTTATTTACAGATCACTCAACCCAGAATATTGTTCAGTAATGAGTGAGTGAGTGAGTGAGTGAGTGAGTGAGTGAGTGAGTGAGTGAGTGAGTGAATATGGTTTTACGCCGCTTTAAGCAATATTCCAGCAACATCACGGCGGGGGACACCACAAATGGGCTTCACACATTGTACCCATCTGGGGAATCGAACCTGAGCGAACGCTTTAACCACTAGACTATGCCCCTGTTTAGTGGTGTGTTAAACATGAAAGAAAGAATGATAAGCAGTCCTCTTATGTTATACAGAGCTCATTTGATAATTATTCAAAACTTTCCTTTTCAAAATAACGTTCTATTATGTAATTTCACTCTTTACATCCAACACTGTCAGAAACAAATTGAAGACTTTTATATTCTCCATAAAAAACATTTTCAATCAGTAATATTAACATAAACAAAAAGATTTACATTTTAAAAACAGGATTACAATGACAGAAAAACAGATTATTAGTATCATTTCCCCAACCGAAAATACCTGGATCACCAGGTAAAAATAATCTGTTTTAGAGCCTACTTGATGCACTTGATACCCTTGATGCACTTGTGTGCCTGTGTGAGGCCCCAGTACCAGTATTGATGGCCTGCTATCTGCATGAGAGTGCCAGATGGCCCATAGAGTTAGGGAGAAGCACTGTACCAAGGGCACAGGGACAAGTTGCTATGTTACTTTATTTGGTAAGTTAAAGCTACTAAGTGTCATCAATAAGACAAGGCCACACTGTTTAACATTTATGGTGACACAATGTTGCGAATGGATTAACTTGAGTTGATAAATAATGAATAAAAATATTTCAGTTGCACAATATGTTGTTATCTCATTTCAAAAGATGTTTGAATCGGTTAGGTTTATAAGAAATACCGTCTTTGATGTAATATACGCCCCTCTCTAATAAGCGCCCACAGCGATATTTGCTAATATATTGGCTAGTGAACAATCCCAAATAGCACCCTTTCCGATTGATCAATGTACACAAGATTTATTTATTCATGTATAATTGTATAATACGCACACGTGTTATATGCATCCTTAATTATGGGCAATTAAATTCTGGAAAATATATCTACCATGTATAATACACACAGATTCTTCTTTTAAATCATTTCAGGCTGTCAGCATAAACCAAAAAAAATTTGCAATCTTTCAACTCTGTTTTTTTTCACCAAAATAATATTCTAATAAGAGCCCCCTATTTCTAATTTTGAGAGCACCCTGGGCGCTTATTACGTCGAATACGGTCGTGCTGGAAGGTTAGTATGTTTACAGTAGTATTTACTTCTGTAAAAGCAGAGTCCTGAGACTACATTTAACAACTTAAACAATTGTTGTCTAAAAGTTAATAGTTACCTTTATTTGGATGATTTTTGTTGTTCAATATTTCTATTTTTTTTAAATCATTTAAGCTGGAACAGCCAGGCAAATAAAAATACATTCCAACTATTTTTTTCTGATTGCTGTTCTTGGCTAAAACTAAAAAAATAGAGCCACAAGGCTCTGAAACTCACTTGAATTATGGAAAACTAATGGCAGCCATGTTTTAAAAAATCAGATTGGAATTTTGAGAGCACTTTCTAGAGACATCATCACTCATACAAGATTTAAAATATGTCAAAAAAACATATTATGTGTTATTGTGAAGTCCACATACTCGCTGCATATCAAATTTCATATTAACACATGCAGAAATGTAGTATAATGGCCAAATATGACATTTTCAATATGGCGTCCATGGCGGCCATGTTTAAAAATTGGAATGGAATTCTTGGAGCGCATTTCAGAGAAAACATACCTGGAATAATTCACATACAGTTTCATGTGCCTTGTAATTTCAGAAGAAATGTCAATAAGGCAAAATGTCGCGCGGAAGGACAACGCAAATCATGATAGTTGGCATGAAAGCAATAAAAATCATAAAATTAAACTTGGCATACCATATTCGACATAATAAGCGCCCATGGCACTCTCAAAACAAGGAAAAGGGGGCTCTTATTAGAATATTATTTTGGTGAAAAACAACAGAGTTGAAAGATAAATTTCATGGTTTATGCTGACAGCCTGAAATGTTTATATACGACAGATATATTTTTTCAGAATTTAATTTCCCATAATTAAGTATGCATATAACACACGTATTATACACGAATAAATCAATCTTGTGTACATTGATCAATCGGAAGGGATGCTGACTGGGATTGTTTACTAGGCAATATATTAGCAAATATCGCTGTGGGCGCTTATGAGAGCGGGGCACTTATTACGCCGAATACAGTTGTTCTACTATAACACATTCCTGCAGAAACACATCTGTGCAGTACAAATGGCCCATATCCAACTGATAACAGGCACACATGTCAGACTCCATCGCCAAAACACCGATAAAACATTATCTGACCGGGCCTTATCAGTGGACAAATTCTATTCATACAACAATCTCACCACGTCACTGTGGGAGCAGTTCAATAGTTTCTCTAAGTTTGGTGGGGTTAACAGGTTTCTCATACGAAAACATTTTCTGTGTCAAGTTCAAGTCAATAAAAGCTTTAATCACCATATTTTTACTCTGAAAATTAACAGCATTGATATAACGGAATATAAAATTAAGAAAAGAACCATCTTTCTCATATTTCACGAGCAAGTTAAAAACCAAGCATGCTGTGTCTCCAAAACCTCTGTTGTGTGATTCCAAACTAAGAGCCTTTGGCAAGCAAGTTGGGAAAAAATGGTGATATTGTTCAAAATTTGATTTTTTTATGTTCTTTTTTTTGTAAACTCTGAGATACTGGGAATTGTTTTATTCAAATTGGGACTTTTTACTGTCATTTACTGCAGACGTGGGGCTGAGTATCAGCCTCTGAGCAGGTCTAGATAAATCTCTGGGATGTCAACATATCCATAATTAAGGTTTAGTTCACGGAGTCATGGGTACGTCACAAAACTTTATGAATAAATTTAATTTATCCACCAAACATTTGAACTGCCCCCTAAACGGCCTTCCATAACATCAGACAATCCCTTTGTCTATCTTTTGGCCTCTGTGACGTAGGCACCATCTTTGAAAATGGAGTATGCTTCAATATTGCCGTCAAGGAGCTCTCCAGGTTGCCGAGATACGATAGTATTTCATTAGGTAGCAGTTTATAAGAGAACCATGAAGATTAATCGGCACTGTTTGTTTTCTGCCTGGTCCAATCCCTCATCCAATGATTCTGTCTCACTGCCTGGGTAATAATGGTGGAAATTACATGCGTTTCTCATACCGGACAAATCTCCTGTCAATAAAGCAACAGATCCCTGTTAACGGAGTGATCATTACTGTATGGCAACTCTGGCGCCGTGATCACTGTCCAGTTGAGGATGAAGTCAGAAAGGTGAGACTTCAAAATAATTTTTCCTATTTCATTGCTTCTGAAACATGTAGGTTTTCATATTGCTGTGGGTTGATGAAGATATAACATATTTAATAAATGTTTACAAAACTTGATTTCAAAATGTGTATAGGCATGAATAAACAAATATCATCATTTAGTAATTCCATATTGATGTGAACTGACGTTTTTTGTACCTTGTGTTGTAATGAATTACAAATTTCAGAAAATATTGAGATTATTTATGTCACAAATTTCATAATGATTACATACATTGCCAGTAATATAAGGCCAGTTGTAGCCAAGCACGTGGGTGTATTATGTCAGTGAATATCTCTCAACCCATGAAGATCCGGGGGCTCTCTGTGACCACAACATTTTATTTGACTCAGGTGACAGGCACCAGGGACCTGTTCCACAAAGTGATCTAAGCACCTACAAGATTGTAACTCCGATACTTGAACAAAGGTTTACTAGGCATAGTGCTAAGATCCCTCTTTGGAATGGAGCCCATGGAACTATTCTGCCCATCAGGGACCCAAACATGTCCATTAAACCTGACTGTGTAAATCCAACTCACCTAATGATGAAAAATTAAAATATTCATTTGTCATTTCAGATGTCTCCTATTTGCAATGTGAAGTTAAAATGGTGTCTAAGCGTATCCAAGTGATTACGTGTGAAGATATTTCAAAGAGGAATTTTCAACAATCTTTCTGATTGAAACAGACCAACCGAGAGTTCAGCGAAGGATATGTAATGTTGCCCAAGATGAACTTTACTGACAATTTGACTGATGTCAAAGATGATGGCAGTTTAGACGACCTATATGCCTTGATGCGTCGAAGTGATGTGCCAGACTTGTACATCCTCACAGCAGTTCTCTCCCTTCTCTTTGTTATCGGCGCTGTTGGCAACATCATCGTCATCTGTGTTTTCTCCCGGAGCTTCATCAAACACACCTCAACCTACTTCATCCTGTTTCTGGCCATTGTGGACCTCGTCATCTGTATGGCCGTCCTGCCTGGGGTCCTCGTCAAGAACTGGTCCTACCCGTTCAAACTCGATGCTGTGTGCAAAATTTGGGAGTTTATTCGGATGTCATCAATTCCCGTTTCTGCTCTGACTCTCATGGCTATAGGGTTTGATAGATACTATCTCATTTGTATGGCCGCTGAAGGTCCACTGTCGACTTCTCTGGCCAAGATGACCATTGTTGCGATCATTGTCATTGGAATCATTATGGGGCTGCCACCTACACTTGGTGTAGGAGTGTACCAAATGGGAGACAATCCAGGCATAATTCAATATCTTGGACTCTGCATGCCGAATACAATCCTGATAACTGAGGAATCACTTCAGGGCTACTGGAAAGCTGTCGTTGGCATCATCTGTACAGTGTTCATCCTACTGACCATCACATATTCTTTAATCTTCATTAAAGTTTTCAAACAGAACCGTAAATGGAACATTTTGAAGAAGACCAAAGTTCACCCAGTCCTAGAAGACATCAAGAAAGGGAGCCAAAATCAAATCATAAGAAGGAACTGGTGGACAAGACTCCGACACATCGCTCGAATTATCCCTGTCCAAAATGAAAATGGGAATATTTTCATTGTGCGTGTTCGGCCCCAGCAGGTCCAACCACCACATCAGTTGCCTTCCAACAATTCCAACCCTGACAGTGATGATGCAGGCCCAGGCGACTCAGGACTCGGGTCAACCGAAAACTGTCGTGTCAGTCGAACCACCTCTTCAAATGAGACCGACAAAGTCCTCGGCAGTTCGGACAATGTGACCAACAGACAGGAGTTGACATACGGACGTCAGCGGACTGCTCACATCAAAACAGCCAAGGTCCTGATGATTGTGTCTGTGGTGTACTTCATCTCCTACTGCCCACCGCTGCTCATCTCCGCTGACCTGATTCCCGACCTGCTCCAGGACCTGCACTACCTTCTCTTCTACTCCTACTTCCTCCACAGCGCAGCCAACCCCATCATCTACTCATTCATGAACAAGAAGTTTCGGGCAGAGGCCAGGAAGCTCATTCAGTGCAAGTCCAAAAGGAGACGGTGGTGAACAATACTACTCCAGCGTGTGTTGGCTGACAAGTCAGGAAAGACCTGGTGCCATTGAGGCAGTTTTCAAGCCACACCATGCAATGATGGTCATATGTTTGTAATGATAATAGTTTGTGACTTTACATGAGAACATCCTGTACTGGAATGTCGGAAATAAGCTCAACTTTACATTCCTCCTCGAGTGAGTATTGTTTTTTGACACTTTTAGGAATATTCCAGGGATATCATGGAGAGGGATGCCTGGTATGGGTTTCACACACTGTACCCATATGGGGAATTGAACCCAGACCTTCAGGGCCCCACCGCCTCTTCCCCCTAGAAGCCTTGAGAAAATTCAAGTGTGACAGGATGTCGCTCTACCTCAACAGTATTTCACTTATATCACAGGGTGTCAGTTGAAGTTACATATGTGAAGATGTCTACCACTTGGATAAAACCATGAGCACAGGTATGGTACAGACAAACCAGGGACCAAAACCAGAATGAATCAATGATCAGTACTAACACAAAGTGATTCCTGCCACAAGTAAGGGAGGCAACTCTGCACACTGAATCTCTGGACCACAACTTTGAATAATAAAGTTTTTGTTCATAATACATGAACTCGTGTTAATGTGAACATCTTTTTGTGAAATGTCACCCATATCACATAAAGGAATAACTGCAGCTTCTTCCATGAAAGATTTGAGCCCAGTCAGACAAAATTGGACAAAACATTGTTCATCAGCAAATGTTTTTAGATTACAAACTAATAGTTAGTAGTTAGTTTGTTGTTTAAAGCCGCACTAGCAATATTCCAGCTATATGACGGCGGTCTGTAAATAATCGAGTCTGGACCACACAATCATGAGCATCGATCCACGCAATTGGGATATGATGACATGCATTAACCAAGTCAGCAAGCCTGACCACCCAATCCCGTTATTCGCCTCTTACGACAAGCATAGTAGCCTTTTACGATAAGCATGGGTTGCTGAAGACCTATTCTACCCCGGATCTTCACGGCTCTAGTAGTTAGTAGTTGATGCTCAGCCAAAACATTTTAATGATGCAGAAACATTTCCTACAGTAGCATGTTGCCCCCTCTTATCTTTAACCCCTTCTCATGACGTACTGGGCCAAGAAGTGCTATCTTCAGCGTAAACTGATCACTGTATTAAACTACTTTGAAACCCTTAAAACTGCTACCATTTGAATTTAGGATTGACTACATTAATAACATTTTAAAGTAAATGAAACTCAATGATTGATATTGTAAGCAACGAGCCATGCCATGTGGGTACGATGGCATGCAATCAACCATGTCACCAATCTGACCAACCCATCCACGTAGTCACCTTTTACGACCAGCATAGGTTGCTGGGGTCATATTCAAACCAGGAATCCTATGAGGCTTGTATATCAGTGAGTGAGTTGTGGATTACATGCGTTGGACAGTATTCCAGATATATCATGGCCTTACAGCTTAATGTGGTAGGAAAAGCCTGAAGTGATGCAGGTCTCATATATTTACCACTTTATGAGTGAGTGAGTGAGGTTTTACACCGCTTCTAGCAATATTACAGAAATATCACTGCAGGGGACACCAGAAATGGGCTTCACACATTGTACCCATATGGGCAATCGAACCAAGGTCTTCAGCGTGAAGAGCGAATGCTTTAACCACAAGGTTACCCCACCACCCCTACTGCCTTGTGAAACCCACGAGTATGGAAATGGCGCTGACAAACCTAGAAACAGAATCGAGGCGAACAAGGTTTCGAAACCACGATCGGACCGTTCTACAAAGCTAATGGCAGTGCCTAAGATGACTGGGCCACCGATGTATAAAGGAAGACATCACCTGCTGTGCCAGCAATCATCCAGGGCCCACTTGCACAAAGCGATCTTAGCGCTAAGGTTATCGTAACTCCCATACTTTAACATAGGCTTACAATAGTTGTAGTGCTAAGATCGCTTTGTGCAAGTGGGCCCAGAACACTGAGATTCTAAGCTAGCAACGTGTCACTGCATTTGATTCCAACTGACAAGTAATTTTGTTTGCATTCATTACCCTTTTAAAAAACATTTTTTTTCAAATCAATATACCCCACATTATGAGATTAAGGATTCAATTGGATCTAATTATCAGATGTGGCAAACAAAGACCGACTGTTTATAGCTACCATTATCGCTCACACTTTATATGAAAACCCCTTCCGAGATGTCGGATGTGGAAAAGATTGATGACAGGGACACTTGACTCCTAACAACATATCATTGTGAGAACAATGGCTAGTACCGAGCCAACCCTACATGAGTGTTGAACATAGCATCATAATTCTTCTGTACCGAACCAACACTGCTTCAGTTATTTATGAAATGATAAGGCTCTTTCTAATTGCCTTGTTGCTGTAAATCTGTCAGCTGATCTCTTGAAACTTGCATCAACCAATGAGTGCTTTGCAGGTGAACTCTGGCTTATTGATGGGATTCATTATCAAGGGGATGATGTCAGTTTCCGAAACAAAAACATGTTTTATGCGTTGTTATGAACCAGACCAATTTATTATCATCACGATCATGTTTTGTGATTGAATTTACCTTAAATTCTGCAAAAGTAGACAGAATCAAAATGATGTTGTGTAAGTAACAAATGTGCTTTCCTAAACAACTTATTATTTGTAGGTTTATTGTTTGTTTGTTGTTTAACGCTGCACTCAGTAATATTCCAACCATATGATGTCAGCCTGTATATAATCGAGTCTGGGGCAGACAATCCAGTGACTGATATCATGAACATCAATCATGCAAATTGGGATATGGTGACATGCAAGTGTCTGGGTCAAGGATGAGGGGTGAGGTCAGGGATTAGTGGTCCAGGTAGAGGACGAGGGGCGAGGTCAGGGATTAGTGGTCTAGGTTGAGGATTAGGGGTGAGGTCAGGGATTAGTTGTCCAGGTAGAGGAGGAGGGGTGAAACAGGGATTAGTGGTCCAGGTCGATGATGAGGTGTGAGGTCAGGGATTAGTGGTCTAGGTTGAGGATTAGGGGTGAGGTCAGGGATTAGTTGTCCAGGTCGAGGAGGAGGGGTGAGGTCAGGGATTAGTGATCCAGGTAGAGGACGAGGGGTGAGACAGGGATTAGTGGTCCTGGTCGATGATGAGGGGTGAGGTCAGGGATTAGTGGTCCAGGTCGATGATGAGGGGTGAGGTCAGGGATTAGTGGTCTGGGTCGAGGATGAGGGTTGAGGACAGGGATTAGTGGTCTGAGTCAAGGATTAGGGGTGAGGTCAGGGATTAGTGGTCTGAGTCAAGGATTTGGGGTGAGGTCAGGATTAGTGGTCTGGGTGGAGGACGAGGGGTGAGGTCATGGATTAGTGGTCTGGGTCGAGGATGAGGGTCAGAGATGAGGGGTGAGGGTGAGGTCAGAAATAAGGTTTAGAGATAAGGAGTGAGGGCAGTGGATGATGGGTGAGGGGTGATGGGTAAGAGATCATTGCTACGGCAGGCACTGAGGGTTGGGGTTCCAAATGAGGGGCGACATACAGTTACAATTGTTATGATCATGATAATATCTAATATAATAATATCTAATCTGAATAGCTTTGACAGTGAAAGTGTAGCTGCTATCACATGCAATAACAACATTCACTTGAAACAATGCCTCTTACAGAAAATAAATGTCATACTTGTTTCTAGTGACTCTAACATGCCCCTGATGAAGATATTCCTTTTGAGAACCCTAATAGACTTCTAGTACTTTTCCAAACTTGTACAAGCCTTGTTTCATTATCAGAAGTACAAGATATGATTGACTGACTGATAAGCATAATAGCCACTCATCATTCAGAGTCTGTGGAAATCCTCAATTTCCTCCCATCTGGCCACCTGCTTGAAGTGTGACGTCAACGAGTGTGGTTAAGTGTTTGTGAGGAGCTTGTGTGATCATGTAAACAGTGGTGTAATCATGTAAACAGTGGTGTGGTCCAGACAACAGGGGAGTGATCAAGATGTCTGGGAAAGAGACTATGGTCTCAGATTTAGTTCAAATACCCGTTATGGATTTTGTTGTTGTTGTTCAGTGCTGCTCTCAGCAATGTGACGGCGAACAATGGTTTAATGACTCCCTATCTCTGGGTGGGTGGAGTGCCATTTCGACTTACTTGTACTGCATCCTTCTAGAATTCATTTGTTTGTTTGTTGATCATATTCCAGCTATATGATGGAGGACTGTTAATAACAGAGTCTGGACCACACAATCCAGTGATTGATATCATAAGCAATGTCCAATATCAAGGAACATGGCACACACTCAACCCGAGTGTGACCGATACAATTAGTTGCCTCTTTAACCAAGGGAGTGAATGTTGTTTTACATAATAGTCTACATCCAAATTAAATTTGAACAATTACACAATTGCACAATAACGTGTGAAATGAAGAAAAGTATCATCTAAATTGGATCTTAATAAAAACAATTTCAGCCTCCCAACTCTACAATACCTCCACAGACAGGGGACCTACTTTGACAATGAGGCCTAGGACCTCCACAGACAGGGGACCTACCATCACAACAGGGCCTAGGGCCTCCACAGACAGGGGACCTACTTTGACAATGAGGCCTAGGACCTCCACAGACAGGGGACCTACTTTGACAATGAGGCCTAGGACCTCCACAGACAGGGGACCTACTTTGACAATGAGGCCTAGGACCTCCACAGACAGGGGACCTACTTTGACAATGAGGCCTAGGACCTCCCCAGACAGGGGACCTACTTTGACAATGAGGCCTAGGGCCTCCACAGACAGGGGACCTACCATCACAACAGGGCCTAGGGCCTCCACAGACAGGGGACCTACTTTGACAATGAGGCCTAGGACCTCCACAGACAGGGGACCTACTTTGACAATGAGGCCTAGGACCTCCACAGACAGGGGACCTACCATCACAACAGGGCCTAGGGCCTCCACAGACAGGGGACCTACTTTGAAAATGAGGCCTAGGACCTCCACAGACAGGGGACCTACCTTGACAATAAGGCCTAGGACCTCCCCAGACAGGGGACCTACTTTGACAATGAGGCCTAGGACCTCAACAGACAGGGGACCTACCTTGACAATAAGGCCTAGGACCTCCACAGACAGGGGACTTACCTTGACAATAGGGCCCAGGACCTCCACAGACAGAGGACCTACCTTGACAATAAGGCCTAGGACCTCCACAGACAGGGGACTTACCTTGACAATAGGGCCTAGGACCTCCACAGACAGAGGACCTACCTTGACAATAGTGCCTAGGACCTCCAGACAGGTGACCTACCTTGACAATAGAGCCTAGGACCTCCACAGACAGGGGACATTCCTTGACAATAGGGTCTAGGACCTCCACAGACAGGGGACCTACCTTGACAATAGGGCCTAGGACCTCTAGACAGGGGACCTACCTTGACAATAGGGCCTAGGACCTCTAGACAGGGGACCAAACTTGACAATAGAGCCTAGGACCTCCACAGACAGGGGACCTACCTTGACAATAGGGCCTAGGACCTCCACAGACAGGGGACCTACCTTGACAATAGGGCCTAGGACCTCCACAGTCAGGGGACCTACCTTGACAATAGGGCCTAGGACCTCCACAGACAGGGGACCTACCTTGACAATAGGGCCTAGGACCTCCAGACAGGGGACCTACCTTGACAATAGAGCCCAGGACCTCCACAGACAGGGGACCTACCTTGACAATAGGGCCTAGGACCTCTAGACAGGGGACCTACCTTGACAATAGGGCCTAGGACCTCTAGACAGGGGACCAAACTTGACAATAGCGCCTAGGACCTCCACAGACAGGGGACCTACCTTGACAATAGGGCCTAGGACCTCCACAGACAGGGGACCTACCTTGACAATAGGGCCTAGGACCTCCACAGTCAGGGGACCTACCTTGACAATAGGGCCTAGGACCTCCACAGACAGGGGACCTACCTTGACAATAGGGCCTAGGACCTCCAGACAGGGGACCTACCTTGACAATAGGGCCTAGGACCTCCACAAAAAGGATCTGCTCTGGAGGAATGGTTGCCAAGGAACTAAGTTCCTTCTTCAGGGTTTTGTATTTCTCATCCATGTTTAGCCGCAGGCCGTACTTGACCGGTACTGACCCTTCCAGTCGATTTACTGAAGAAGAAGAGGGTATTTGTTTAAGGAAAATTAAAGGATATTTGTTCATGGGAATATATCATTAGTAACCACCAATTAGTAGCCACCACTGAAATTAAGTACTGATTTAGACTAATGATGTACTCCCCATTTTGCACATCACTAATGACCAAATTGTACACCCATGAGTGTAGCCAGCATTTTACAGCACTAATGTACATATCATACACCCTTGGTTGTATATCTCTAAGGTTGTACCACCAGATTGTTCATCTCTTAGGTTGTACTCCACTAATTGTACATCTTCGATGTTGTACTCCACTTATTGTACATCTTCGATGTTGTACTCCACTAATTGTACACATCTAATGTTGTACTCCACTAATTGTACACATCTAATGTTGTACTCCACTAACTGTACATCTCTAATATTGTACTCCACTAATTGAACATCTCTAATATTGTACTCCACTAATTGTACATCTCCTATGTTGTATTCCGCTAATTGTAAATCTCTTATATTGTACTCCACTATTTGAACATCTCTAATGTTATACTCCGCTAACTGTACATCTCTTATGTTATACTCCGCTAATTGTACATCTCTAATATTGTACTCCACAATTTGAACATCTCTAATGTTGTACTCCACTGACTGTACATCTCCTATGTTGTACTCCACTAATTGTACATCTCTAATATTGTACTCCACTATTTGAACATCTCTAATGTTGTACTCCACTAACTGTACATCTCCTATGTTGTACTCCACTAATTGTACATCTCTAATATTGTACTCCACTATTTGAACATCTCTAATGTTATACTCCACTAATTGTACATCTCTAATATTGTACTCCACTATTTGAACATCTCTAATGTTGTACTCCGTTAACTGTACATCTCTTATGTTATACTCCGCTAATTGTACATCTCTAATATTGTACTCCACTATTTGAACATCTCTAATGTTGTACTCCACTAACTGTACATCTCCTATGTTGTACTCCACTTATTGTACATCTCTAATATTGTACTCCACTATTTGTACATCTCTAATGTTGTACTCCACTAGCTGTACATCTCCTATGTTGTACTCCACTTATTGTACATCTCTAATATTGTACTCCACTATTTGTACATCTCTAATATTGTACTCCACTATTTGTACATCTCTAATATTGTACTCCACTATTTGTACATCTCTAATGTTGTTCTCCCCTATGTTTGAAGTTCCCCAGGTTGTACTCACCAATGATCTCCAGGTGTATACAGCTGTCCATGGGAAGAGGTAGAGAGAGGTAGGTGAAGGGGTCGAAGCGGACGCTGACATGACCACATTCCTGACATCGCACCTGGGAACGCAGCTGGCCATGAAACAGGTCTACGATGATGGACTGGTTCCGTAATAAGTGGTTATCCCATGCCTGTAAATATACACAAGTAGTTATCCCATGCCTGTAAATATACACAAGTAGTTATCCCATGCCTGTAAATATACACAAGAAGTTATCCCATGCCTGTAAATATACACAAGTAGTTATCCCATGCCTGTAAATATACACAAGTAGTTATCCCATGCCTGTAAATATACACAAGAAGTTATCCCATGCCTGTAAATATACACAAGTAGCTATCTCACGCCTGCAAATATACACAAGTAATTATCCAACACCTGCAATTAAACATTAGTAGCTATCCCACACCTATAATTATACATTAGTAGCTATCCCACACCTGCAATTATACATCAGTAGTTATCCCACACCTGCAATTATACATTAATTTATAGTTATCCAACACCTACAATTGAACATCAGTAGCTATCCCAAACCTGCCATTATACATTAATAGTTATACCACACCTGTAATTATTCATTAGTAGCTATCCCACACCAGCCATTATACATTAATAGTTATACCACACCTGCAATTATACATTAATAGTTATCCCACATCTGCAATTATACATTAGTAGTTATCCCACACCTGCAATTATACATTAGTAGCTATCCCACACCTGCAACTGTATATCAGTAGTTATCCCACACCTGCAATTATACATCAGTAGTTATCCCACACCTGCAATTATACATCAGTAGTTATCCCACACCTGTAAGAAGACATTAGTTGCAATCCCTGCAATTATTATACATAAGTAGTTATCCCTCAGGTATAGGATGCTAACAATTGTTAACCTCCAGCTGCTATGTACAGAGCCACTACTGACTCGCCCTCACCTCTAGGGCTACCTCTTCATCCGGCCTCCCATCACTGTCCTTCAACTCAACATACGGCTTGTCATGGACTCTGAAATCAATACAGCAACAATGATAGTTGAAACCTCACTGTGATTTCAAATAACATTTAATGTATAATATTCCTGATGCCATTAGGAGGATTGCATGAAGTGCTCCTTCCGTATACCGATATCACACAGACTGGCAAGATGCTTATATCTTCTAGCATGAAGGAACGAACATTGTACGCCAGTCAGCAATAGTACAGCTATATCATGCCAGCCTGTAGATAATCCAACCAGGACCAGGCCACCAGTGGCTGAGAGCATTATCTACTGGAGCATGATGATACCACCCAGGTGGCAAACTCACTTCACAAGCATCGGGAGATGGGACCATTCAGCCCTGTAATCCATACATCCTGTGACTTTGTTGATTGTGTGTCCTCATCTTACCAAGATGACAGGGGAAGTTAGTCATAATATCAACCACTGGTTTGTCTGTACAGACTGGATTTCTTGCAGACTAATGTCATATAGCTGGTATATTACATTAAAAAAAAAGACTAAACCAGAACCTGTTGAGATCTTCGTGCAGTCCGTCCAACAGGAAGCTGAGGAGTTCCTGAGAGTCGTGCTGCTGAAACCCGTTGAACCTTGGTGCATACTTCCCGATTGTCCACTGAAACAGGCAACATACGTATCAACAGGTATTTGCCTTTTTTCATCAGATGCATAGGTGCAGTTTATTTGTCCGTTTTTTAGAAAGAATTTCAGTTCTATCGCAGGGCATCATAAGTCTTAGGTGAGAGAAAAATCAACATGAGTGAGTGAGTGAGTTGGGTTTAACGCTGCTTTTAACAGTATTCCAGGTATATCACGGCGTGTCAGCTTAATGTGGGAGGAAAGCCCGAAGTGATGCCGGTCTCAGATGTTTACCACTTCGGTGAAACCCACGAGCACAGGTATGGTGCTGACAAATCTAGAAACATAATCGGGGCAAACCGGGATTCAAACCCACAATCATAGGTTTCTGGCATGCCCAATGGATGCTACTCTTCACAGCGAATCACGGCGCCTTAGACTACTGGGCCACCCATGCCCCCAAAATCAACATGAAACCTATGAGCGCTGGTATTGTGCTGAGAGACTAAGGATCAGATATAGGGCAATTTGAACCAAGACCAAAGAATCCTGTCATGGCAGTAACCTATCAGTGGAACTCTTTATACTACCACTGCCACCATTCACGGCTCCCCACTGTGCTGAGCAGCCTCCAACCATCCATGGAGTTGAACTTGCAACCAAGTGAAGGCTGCTGTGATGCCTAATATGGTTCCCCCAGTTTTAATTATTTTGTTTGTCAATTTGAATTCTATTTCCATCACATACTACACATAGAGTGAGAAATGAAAGGGAGAAGTTGGTTGTGTCTGATACCAGCAAGGCACCAGCCTATTAGGGGAGTCTCGATCCACAGTGTAAATTTACACCTTCTGACGCCACAAGTATCCAAACATGTTTTGATTGGGTATCAGAAGTAGAGTTTACGATGTATAAGACTACACATTATGAACTTGGTCAAGCATGACCTTACGACCTTTCTTGAAACATAATGCTAAAACTAATATTAGAAAAGAATTAAATCAAAATTCACCTGTCAGTGGGGCCGCATGGAAGAGTTTCATGTAGAAATGTCAATTAATATTAATATCGTGATTCATTTCTGTTACTCAATTATTGCGATATGTATCGTATCATGAATTACATGTTGCATAACACCTCTAGTCAGTGGTAGAAACTAACGGTTTTAGTCCACAAGTCCTTATAATGATAACATATAGCAAAACCCATATATATGGCAAATTTCTACTATTCCATATGATACCTTAACTATTGGGTAGTTTGGCAAGGACCATAGGACTAGTGCCAACTTCTAACGCTGCTAGTACCCCATGAAATTGTGATACACTGATATGGAGCCTCCAGCCAGACCAAGTAAGGGAGGTAACTCTGTTGAACAGCTCCAACAGAAGCACTTACCCTAAGTTTGAGTGGGGCAATAGTTCGAGTTGTCCCGCTCCACAACTCCTTCACGAGGTCTCCGTACCGCTGGGCTATGTGGCCTTTCATTCCTAGAGGGTTTTTCCTGCAGTAAACAATTGAATGCGTCATGTACGGTACATAGCAAATCTGAAATGAATTCCTATGAGGTGAGAAAGTATATCACATGGACTTCATTGAGGATGTAATAATTCCTTAGTTCTGTTTTCTTGACTTAAAAAGATAAACTCAAAACAACATTATTTGAGGGTGGCATGAAAAAATGTTATATGTATATGCGGTGGTAGTGTAATACGTTACATAAAATGGGGGTGGGTGGGGTCATCCTTTCCTCTCTTATCATCCTCCCCACCACCCTCTCCAAATAAAAGATCAGTCCCAAAAGGCATTCTTTTTACAGTCAAGTCTGGACAAGACAACCACTGATTACTATTATGAGAGATACAGGGTTGAGAATGGATATTTTCCTTTTCAGATGAGTAAGTAGTGAGTAAGTATGGTTTAACGCCTCTTTTAGCAATATTCCAGCAATATCACGGCGGGAGACACCAGTAATGGGCTTCACACATTGTGCCCATGTTGGGAATCGAACCCGGGTCTTCGGCGTGACGAGTGAACGCTTTAACCACTAGGCTACCCGACCGCCCCCTTTTCAGATGAAACTTCTTTTCAATGGAACGTGGTCCATAATTTGGGGGTGTTTATGGGGGGGGGGGGGGGGGTCATCAGAATTTAACAAATTTGTGGTCACTAAAATTCACGGATCCATGGAAGTCTCATCCCTGGTGATAGTCCACTCCGTTGGGTAGCATTGACACACTCACTACCAAGTCACCGGTTCTGACCCCATGATCCATTAACCTTGTACACCCAACATAGGTTGCCGAGGATCATTTCTATCCTGGTGTCCCCGCTGGACCTGATCAGCAAGGATGCACATGTAACCTGTTTCTCCCTCACCTATTGAGTTCGAACAGATGCAGCCCTCCATTGAAGTACTGTGTGAGAGTGTAAGTATTGGACACACACTGCACGGCGGCATTCATGAAGCATGTGTTGCCAAGGTTATTCAGACCCGTAGCACCTCGCTCTGTTGGCACTGGAAACAATAGACAATGGAACTGACAATGTTATAAAGTTAAACAAGTACAATATATCATGAAATTATGAATCACCAAATTAATGAGTGTGTTGACCCCTGGCCTTAAATGCATCATGCAATCAATGCAAGCAGCCCTACCTCTGAACTATAAAAACTAATCTTCTATAAAATTCCATGATATCGTATGGGGTGATAGTAGTTCAATTGAATAATGTCATTTGCTATCTTCACAAATTTAACTTCAACTGCTTGATCTAACTTATATGAAATATAAAGCAGAAATTCCACATAACAGTGAACCTAACATAACAATATACACCCATATTTCCAGAAGTGAGTGAGTGAGTGAGTATGGTTTTACGCCGCTTTTAGCAATATTCCAGCAATATCACGGCGGGGGACACCAGAAATGGGCTTCACACATTTGACCCATGTCGGGAATCGAACCCAGGTCTTTGGCGAGACGAGCAGACACTTAAACCACAAGGCTACCCGACCGCCCCTATTTCCAGAAGAACATACTTTACGTTATTGATGTAAGTAAGAGACACTCACATTTTTTCGCATTAATTTTATGCTTGCATTAATTTCATGACTTACAGAGCTTGGAACAGCAGGGTTAGTGCTTTTAGCCAACAGGTGGCCACCAAAAAGTTTAGTACAAGTCTAGTTAAAGGTGAGCATGCATAACACCCTCATTTATGAAAGAAAACAAACATGAAACACGCTCCATCTCGAAAGATTGACCATAAATCATAACAAACTGTTCTCCTTACGCTAATTTTGTCAAGGAGCAAATTAACTTCACAAACAAACTTTACATAGACCACTTCTGTTTTCATTTGATACCGTGGACCAATGAATAATATGTTTAATGTTGTCCAATCGTATATAGGTAAACAAGAGTCCAGTCAAACGGAAACGATGAACACAACCAACTCATACAAATGATTTCAGGAAAAGACTGTTCATTTGAACATCTCTCGGTCAATCCAACATGGATCAAAGATAAGAAATGATTTAGAAAGTTACTGTAAATTGTTTCAGGAAGTGAACATAATCCAATAGTACACATTCGACGCTCGGTTTTACAACACAAAACAAACATCTCAATTAGTTCTCACCATCTTCTTTTTTTAGTGTTTTGTTTTTGGCAAGTTGAGACATTTCTTCTGGCCATGTCAAGTCCTTGTTTCTCACTGAAAATAAATCAAATGAAAATTACAGAAAAACAGAATACGCAAAAATTTAATTTATTCCTGATCTTTTGGTTCGACCTGAAAAACACTTTGTCTTTTACTCCTTTTTGTACATATTTGCTGGACATCTTTGTATTCTGGAGGAAAAATGCAGTTTTTCACAGCACATCACAGAAAGTTCCTCAAAATGATGTCTACACTGCACTCGATAAGCCCAAAAGGTCTTACAATCTTCCACACACACAACTTGTACAGAGAGGCATCATGCATCATATTCAATTTGATCTTTCGTTTTGGGGAAAGCAGGTTAGAATTACCTGCCCTTGGTTAAAAATCGGGGAAAATACAAAGCCCGACACTGGTGGTTGAAAATGAAGCCAGCACCCAATGCTTCCTTTTTGGGGACCTTAAATGAAATCGATCTTTCTCTTTTGCGAACATCTAAGAATTTATTTTGTGTGTGTTATACTGCAGAAAGCATTATTCCAGCGGAACCACACCCATCACAGCATAATTAAATCCAGACCGGCCCAACCACTGTTAGAAATTAGCACTAGTCCTATAGTCCTTTCCAAACTGCCCAGTAGTTAAGGTATCATAAGGACTAGTAGACATTTGCCATTTTTAAGGGTTTTGCTATGTTACCATTAGGACTATTGGACCAAAACTGTTAGTGTTCATCACTGCCAACAGATGGTTAATAGCATGAGCAATGACACCAGAAATATCCCGGTCATCTCTTACCCCCCTCTCAGACCCCACCACCAAATGCTCATGTTCCCCCCCTCTCAGACCCCACCACCAAATGCTCATGTTCCCCCCCTCTCAGACCCCACCACCAAATGCTCATGTTCCCCCCCCCTCTCAGACCCCACCACCAAATGCTCATGTTCCCCCCCCTCTCAGACCCCACCACCAAATGCTCATGTTCCCCCCCCTCTCAGACCCCACCACCAAATGCTCATGTTCCCCCCCTCTCAGACCCCACCACCAAATGCTCATGTTCCCCCCCCTCTCAGACCCCACCACCAAATGCTCATGTTCCCCCCCCTCTCAGACCCCACCACCAAATGCTCATGTTCCCCCCCTCTCAGACCCCACCACCAAATGCTCATGTTCCCCCCCTCTCAGACCCCACCACCAAATGCTCATGTTCCCCCCCTCTCAGACCCCACCACCAAATGCTCATGTTCCCCCCCCCTCTCAGACCCCACCACCAAATGCTCATGCTCCCCCCCCTCTCAGACCCCACCACCAAATGCTCATGTTCCCCCCCTCTCAGACCCCACCACCAAATGCTCATGTTCCCCCCCTCTCAGACCCCACCACCAAATGCTCATGTTCCCCCCCCTCTCAGACCCCACCACCAAATGCTCATGTTCCCCCCCTCTCAGACCCCACCACCAAATGCTCATGTTCCCCCCCCTCTCAGACCCCACCACCAAATGCTCATGTTCCCCCCCTCTCAGACCCCACCACCAAATGCTCATGTTCCCCCCCTCTCAGACCCCACCACCAAATGCTCATGTTCCCCCCCTCTCAGACCCCACCACCAAATGCTCATGTTCCCCCCCTCTCAGACCCCACCACCAAATGCTCATGTTCCCCCCCCTCTCAGACCCCACCACCAAATGCTCATGTTCCCCCCCTCTCAGACCCCACCACCAAATGCTCATGTTCCCCCCCTCTCAGACCCCACCACCAAATGCTCATGTTCCCCCCCTCTCAGACCCCACCACCAAATGCTCATGTTCCCCCCCTCTCAGACCCCACCACCAAATGCTCATGTTCCCCCCCCTCTCAGACCCCACCACCAAATGCTCATGTTCCCCCCCTCTCAGACCCCACCACCAAATGCTCATGTTCCCCCCCCTCTCAGACCCCACCACCAAATGCTCATGTTCCCCCCCTCTCAGACCCCACCACCAAATGCTCATGTTCCCCCCCTCTCAGACCCCACCACCAAATGCTCATGTTCCCCCCCTCTCAGACCCCACCACCAAATGCTCATGTTAATCTCCACCCCAAAAAATTTCTAAATGTGACAACAAACCACCCCCCTACTGAAGTTACAAATTGAAAAAAAGACCTTCTCCTTTAAAGGAATCCTGTGTCTGGCTCCTGAATCAAAGGTTCAAAGGGAGGAGTACTGGGATGCTGCCTTCAGTATGTATCAGTAGATGCTGCATCTAATGGCCTCTCACATCCTCACCTTCAATAAGCATCTGCTGGTTCTCTTCAATGCTTGCATCCTCCACCGTCATATTTTCATCATCTAGCAATGTGATGTTTTGCTGAAAATACAGTGGAAGAGTGAGGGAGTTGGGTTTAACACCACTTCAAACAATATCTAAATTATATCATGGTGTGTCAGTTTGATGTGGGAGGTCCTAGGCGTTTTCCACTTCAATGAAACCTACAAGAGCAGGTATGGAACTGACAAATCTAGAAACATAAGCTGGGAAGATACACACAGAATCCTTTATACATCATTAACTGACAAGGTCCAAATAGACTTATGCACAGTGAATGCTGCGCTATACAAATGCATAAATTACTATTATTATTATTATTAAGATGGGTTTAGAGGTAGCCATCAAGCGCATATGCCAAGAGCTGTTTAATGAAAAAATATAGCTTAAATAATGCTGATGCGACGTTAAATTCTAACTCTCTCACACACACAAAAAAGTTGCTTATACTGCAGTAGTAATCTTAGGGTCACAGTTAAAAACTGTTTAGCGAGAACTGCTCAATCACAATGTTGTAGTGTTAGTTTTAGCACCAGTGTCATGGGCCAAAAGGGAATTCCATTGGGATGTACTCAGGTCACATGTTACTTTAGGTCTTCCAGCCTTTGTGTATCACTCAATGGCTTCCTTTAACTGGCTCTGAACAGTAATATGCAATCATGACCCCTTAATGGTGATGAAAAAGTTTTTGTTTGTTTGTTGCTTAACGTAGCACTCAGGAATATTTCACCTATATGACGGTGATCTCTAAACAGTGTTATCGCGATAAAAAGGAACAGTTACAAGAATAAGGACTCGACTTCAAATTGCCCTTTGTCACAACTGTAACATTAATAACTCATCCTCTGTCTATGGGGGCGGTCGGGTATCCTTGTGGTTAAAGTGTTCGTCGTCACGCCGAAGACAATGTGAGAAGCCCATTTCTGGTGTCCCCCGCCATGATATTGCTGGAAAATTGCTAAAAGCGGCGTAAAACCATACTAACACACTCACTCCTCTGTCTATGACTGGGTTGCTGCCGACCTATTCTAAGCAAGAATCCCACAGGGCCACCAGCATCGTAAACACCTTACACAACAAGGACGGGCACTGCCAGGCATGTTACTGCAAGCAACTCACATCATCTTTGGGACTGACTTTCCAGAGTCGGATGTCTTCTCGACAGAAGCGGAGTTTGTTGCATAAGAACTCGTATATTTGCTGCATGGTGTGCTTCCTGCTGAAGGCTGCTGTGTAGGCCAGGTAGCGGCGAGGGGTCTGGGGGTTGGCGGCGAAACCTGGAACACAAGCAGATAGGTTACACTTGTGTACAGTCTGTGTGTATGTACAATGACGGCGTGTGCATGTGCGTGTTGTGGGTGAATGAGTGTGCATGTGCGTGTGCATGTGCGTGTTGTGGGTGAATGAGTGTGCATGTGCGTGTTGTGGGTGAATGAGTGTGCATGAGTGTGTGCGTGCTGTGCGTGTAAGTATACTGAGTGTGCATGTGAGTGTGTGTGTTGAGCATGTGTATGTGAGCAGCTGGTGAGTGGGCGTGTATGTGAGTGGGCGTGTGTGTGAGAGAGTGTGAGTGTTGTGCGTGTGTATGTGATTGTTCATGAGTATGCATGTGTGTGTGAGAGAGTGTGAGTTGTGCGTGTGTATGTGAGTGCATGAGTGTGAGTGTGTGTGAGAGTGTGTTGTGCATGTGTATGTGAGTTTGAGTGTGTTGTGTGCATGTGAGTGTGTTGTGTGCGAGTGTGTGTGTGTTGTGTGCATGTGTGTGCATATGGGCAGCTTAAAGATATTTATAGCATTAGCTTCCACCTTCATTTTATCCAGAAATGAACATACAACATAATAGCTGGGTGTAATTAGCAGTACAGACTGCTGTTGTGGATAAACCCAGGCTCTATAATAAAGTGAAATGGTGGACTTACTCCAGGCCATGCCACCGAAGCCAGCCATCATGCCTGTGAAGGTGGTGGGAGGGGGCGGCCTCTGACTGGGCACCTGGTGTCGCTGGAGTCGGACAGTCACGGGGTACAGCTCCAGCTCAGGGTCGTTGGACGCTGTTGTTATCACCTGGAACGCAAGAATGTCAGCATGAGCAGTCAAACTAGAAGGGGTGCATACATCAAGAGGTGGTCCATTGTAGTCATGGGATCATTATACATGGATCCACCTAGTTTCCCTAAAGGTTGAGACCTCGGGGCCGGCCCACTTGTGACCAAAACAGTCAGCCATTTCCTAAACAGGGGGCCATTTTCAAAGAAAAGCCAAGGAAACAAAGACAAACACTTTCTTGGAACAAATGGTGAATCCTTGCTCTTTTATTTGCTGTTCTGCTCACACATATTCAGAATCATGATTGACTGTGGTACTTGACAAAATCATATTTAAATTGTAGCACAGCAGTCATTTTCTGTTATTTGATTTTGAAAACAATTGAAAATGTCTAAGACCAGTCACCCTGGTTATTTGGTGTTGATATCATGAGCAAAGTCACACATTGGGCTATAATGATATGTAATGAACCAAGTTGGGCTGGGACGAGTCCAAATTTACTACCCGGGTACCCATCTCCCTATTACCCGACCCTACCCGGGTACCCACTGTAGATATCTAGAGATAGGTACAAACTGTCCGATTTGGAAGAGTTTGACCGTAGCCCTGGCAAAATGTATTTAGATACACGTGTAAAACAATCTTGTCATGCATACACTGAAGTTTACTGCATGAAGTTTTATCTTTATTCAGACATATAAACATGTGATAAAAGTCCAAAGGAATGGGTGCATTGTCATAAAGAAATGGGAACATTAGTGACTTAAAGTGTAACCACAGAGTTTTAGATCATTTTTGTCATTAAACAATATATCACTTGACTAACCACGGGTCCGGGTCCCACCCGACCCGAGTACCCGAGTTACCTGTCCCAGCCCTAAAACCAAGTCACCAAGCCTGACCACACAATCAATTTAGTCTCCTGAGACAAGCATCGGTTGCTGGTGACGAATTCTCGCCATGCTAACCTGGAATCCCCTGGGTGAAGCGTGACTTTGTTTGTAATTTACCTTTACAACGGCCTGTAAATAATAGAGCCTGGACCAGACAAACCAGTGATTAATATAATGAGTACTATACCACCAAATCTGGGTAAGAAGATACGCAATCAGACAAGTCCCAGCTTCTGACCACCCATCCATTTCATAGCCTAGCACAGAACAAGATATGTTGTTGGGTATTCTAACCCAGAATCCCCATGAGATGGAGGGAGACATAGAAAGATGAAAGGTGACAGTGTACTTACAGTTCTAGGCAGAGCAGGTGCCCCTCCATACCAGCTGGACAGGGCTCTCCAGATAGGCTCCGGCACCAGCTCGAAGTCCTTCCCCCTCACCAGCACTGTATCACGCTTTAACCGACCTCCCTCGTTGGTGAGGGTTGATGCCTGGGAAAACACAAGAATATATATATCACGGTTAAAATGGAGACAGTTTTATATCATTGGTGGAGCAATCAATAGCCAGACTACCTTATGTGAGTTGGTGACAAGGACATAGTCGTTATCAATGATGACCCTACCTTATGTGAGTTGGTGACAAGGACATAGTCGTTATCAATGGTGACCCTACCTTATGTGAGTTGGTGACAAGGACATAGTCGTTATCAATGATGACCCTACCTTATGTGAGTTGGTGACAAGGACATAGTCGTTATCAATGATGACCCTACCTTATGTGAGTTGGTGACAAGGACATAGTCGTTATCAATGATGACCCTACCTTATGTGAGTTGGTGACAAGGACATAGTCGTTATCAATGATGACCCTACCTTATGTGAGTTGGTGACAAGGACATAGTCGTTATCAATGATGACCCTACCTTATGTGAGTTGGTGACAAGGACATAGTCGTTATCAATGGTGACCCTACCTTATGTGAGTTAGTGACAAGGACATAGTCGTTATCAATGGTGACCCTACCTTATGTGAGTTAGTGACAAGGACATAGTCGTTATCAATGGTGACCCTACCTTATGTGAGTTAGTGACAAGGACATAGTCGTTATCAATGGTGACCCTACCTTATGTGAGTTGGTGACAAGGACATAGTCGTTATCAATGGTGACCCTACCTTATGTGAGTTAGTGACAAGGACATAGTCGTTATCAATGGTGACCCTACCTTATGTGAGTTAGTGACAAGGACATAGTCGTTATCAATGGTGACCCTACCTTATGTGAGTTGGTGACAAGGACATAGTCGTTATCAATGGTGACCCTACCTTATGTGAGTTGGTGACAAGGACATAGTCGTTATCAATGGTGACCCTACCTTATGTGAGTTAGTGACAAGGACATAGTCGTTATCAATGGTGACCCTACCTTATGTGAGTTGGTGACAAGGACATAGTCGTTATCAATGGTGACCCTACCTTATGTGAGTTAGTGACAAGGACATAGTCGTTATCAATGGTGACCCTACCTTATGTGAGTTGGTGACAAGGACATAGTCGTTATCAATGGTGACCCTACCAATGAGAGGGTTGTTATGAATGACAGTCTTCATGCGAGTCGGTGACAATCAGGAGATTGTTATCAATGGCAGTCCTACTTATGTGAGCTAGTGACGAGAGAGTTATCCATGACGACCCTACCTTATGTGAGTTGGTGACAATGAGAAATGGCGACCCTACCTATGTGAGTTGGTGATAATAAGAGGGTTGTTATCCATGGTGACCCTACCTTATGTGAGTTGGTGACATTGAGAAATGGCGACTCTACGTAATGTGAGTTGGTGACAATGAGAGGGGTGTTGTCAATGGCGACCCTACCTTGTGTGAGTTGGTGACAATGATAGGGTTGTTGTCAATGGCGACCCTACCTTATGTAAGTTGGTGACAATGATAGGGTTGTTGTCAATGGCGACCCTACGTTATGTGAGTTGGTGACAATGAGAGGGGTGTTGTCAATGGCAACCCTACCTCGTGTGAGTTGGTAACAATGAGAAATGGCGACCCTACCTTATTTGAGTTGGTGACAATGAGAGGGTTGTTGTCAATGGCGACGGGCCTCTGTGGGGGACCTGCGGCCACCGCATGCTGTTTCCGCTTCATCTTGGGTGACGGACTGGGACTCCGGTTCATGGCGGCGGCGTTGTCCACCGGGTTGAGACTATTCTTCCTTGGGCTCCGAGAGCCGTGGTTTGTTCTGGGTAGACTGTTGTAAGTTGGGTTGGTAACGTGGCTGTTCAAGGTGACCTGTTCCGTGGAGCTGGTCTTGCAGTTCACCATTATGACATTGTCATCTTCCCAGGCCAGGGTGCTGTTGACTCCACCCTTACCTTTGGCAAATTTATGCTTGGATACAGGTGTGCCTGTCGCACTGTGGTTCTCGTTCAGCTGCAAGCGGAGGCAAGACGCAGGGAGTGAAATAACAGAGAAACTTACTACTTTTTCTCAAACATAAAGCTATGTTCAGGGATGTGAGCAGGTTTTCCCGGGTAAAAAAAGAGGAAAAGTCTAGGGGGGTTTGGGGGCATGCTCCCAAAGAAATTTTTTAAACATTTGATTGCATTTTAAGCAACCTCGTGCAGTTTGGACAACATTCACACCAAGAAGTCTGAAAGTACTGAACCGACGCAGATTGTCCGGTTTTCGATCATATTTTTCGGAGAGCTTTTTTAAACATTTTGATTATATTTTTACGAGGAAGATGATTTTTCAGGAGGACTACTGTTTTAAAAAATGTGATTTTTTGGGTTTCCGCAGAGATTTCACATCCCTGTATGTTACTGAAGACGTGACGGTACTGGAAGTTTTAGATGTTTGTTTATTTGTTGTTGAACCCCACAATATTCCAGCCATAAAATAATAAGACATTTGAATAATGGATAAGACAATCCAGCAATTGACATCATCCGATGACATGCATCAAACAAGTCAGGGAACCTGACCACCCGCTCCCAAAAATCGTCTCTTACGACAAGCATGGGTTGCTGAAGACCAATTCTAACCCGGATTTGCATGATGGGAAGTTTCAGCTGGAAACTATTATATGTTAATGTAGTGAGTAGGTTGTTGATTTGAATGAATAACGCTGAAACATTGGGTACTTACATCTCCATTAACGTACTCCAGCCACGTGTTCCACCACTGCATGCTGATGAGGTAACACACCTGGCCCACCTGTAACGACTTGCGACTCTCTCGCTCTAGCCACGACCTGGTGGACAACAATCACAGTATCAACTGTATCATGACATCACAATAAACTGCAAATGATTACTTTTCAATAAATTGGCTAACAAAGCCATTTCCTATTGTATTTATGTTTTCAGGAACTGACAAAATATTAGGTCACTTCCACTAACAGTCTACTGTTTTCTGATTGGCTAACAACAGAATGGGCGGGGCTTGTGCTGCATTATTGCGCTGAATGTCATCGATTTTGTATGGTTGTCTACATTCTTGTGTGAGTTAATAATTTAATATGAAATCTGTTTAGTTATTATTGTTGCCATATTTATTAATACGAATTTACATCAATATTTTTGGTGTTCATGGAAGCATAACCATGACAACCTGAGTGCAGTACAGATTTATACAGCGTGCACACTGATTATTATATTAAAACCTCCATAAATGTCAATTCTTAGTTGTGCTCTAAACTATACACTAGCCTGACTTCATCATGTTTGTCTCTTTTGTTTAATAATAATAATAATAATGCGCTAGCCTCCATGTAGCAGTTCATGCTCAAAGCGCTACATTATTACGCCGGTCAGTAGATCAGTGAGCACTCGATTTTCATTCTCAGCTCCCTGGGGAGTATACAACCCAAAGCTGCCTGTGAGGCGCTAGAAGGTTAACAGCCACATAACCATCTCATCCTACCGGGTACCCACTCACTGCTGGGTGAACAGAGGCACATTTTAAACAAAGTCACTTGCCTAAGGAGACACTACGTGGTACATGTGCTTTAATGCCACACTCTGCAATATTACGGCTATATGATGACGGTCTGTAAATAATCAAGTCTTGACCAGACAATCTCATCTCAATTATTGGGAGTTTAAAGTCATAGATTTTGATTTGATAGAATACATGGAACACCAGTGGGCACTCCCTTTTGCTGAAAGAACCAATCAAAATTAAATAAGAGATTGTCTTGAATTACCCAAGTCAATCTCTTATTTAATTTTGAATTACCCAAGTCAAGATCTGCATAATGAATACTCACTGAATTATTTTGCCCTCTTCGTCTCGCCTTTGAGGCTTCAGGCCAAGCACCACATGGCATATCTGCACACAGGAGAAGCAGGGAATGTTAGCTTGAAATCCTTAGTATCCTTTCAATGTTTCTTATTAGTCCTATGTATACCCACATGTGTACACATCATCAACCACATCGTCATTATCATCCACATCGTCATAACCATTCACATCATCATCATCATCATCATTCACAATGTCATCATCATCAACATCATCATTCATAATGTCATCATCACCCATATCGTCATAACCATTACATCATCATTCACAATGTCATCATCATCAACATCATCATTCATAATGTCATCATCACCCATATCGTCATAACCATTACATCATCATTCACAATGTCATCATCACCCATATCGTCATAACCATTACATCATCATTCACAATGTCATCATCATCAACATCATCATTCACAATGTCATCATCATTCACAATGTCATCATCACCCACATCGTCATAACCATTACATCATCATTCACATCGTCATAACCATTACATCATCATTCACATCGTCATCATCATCATCATCATTCACATATTATCATCACCCACATCGTCATAACCATTACATCATCATTCACATCGTCATAACCATTACATCATCATTCACATCGTCATCATCATCAACATCATCATTCACAATGTCATCATCACCCACATCGTCATAACCATTACATCATCATTCACATCGTCATCATCATCATCATTCACAATGTCATCATCATCAACATCATCATTCACAATGTCATCATCACCCACATCGTCATAACCATTACATCATCATTCACAATGTCATCATCATCAACATCATCATTCACAATGTCATCATCACCCATATCGTCATAACCATTACATCATCATTCACATCGTCATAACCATTACATCATCATTCACATCGTCATCATCATCATCATCATTCACAATGTCATCATCACCCACATCGTCATAACCATTACATCATCATTCACATCGTCATAACCATTACATCATCATTCACATCGTCATCATCATCAACATCATCATTCACAATGTCATCATCACCCACATCGTCATAACCATTACATCATCATTCACATCGTCATCATCATCATCATTCACAATGTCATCATCATCAACATCATCATTCACAATGTCATCATCACCCACATCGTCATAACCATTACATCATCATTCACAATGTCATCATCATCAACATCATCATTCACAATGTCATCATCACCTACATCGTCATAACCATTACATCATCATTCACATCGTCATAACCATTACATCATCATTTACATCGTCATCAACATCATCATTCACATCGTCATAACCATTACATCATCATTCACATCGTCATAACCATTACATCATCATTCACATCGTCATCAACATCATCATTCACAATGTCATCATCACCTACATCGTCATAACCATTACATCATCATTCACATCGTCATCATCATCATCATTCACAATGTCATCATCACCCACATCGTCATAACCATTACATCATCATTCACATCGTCATAACCATTACATCATCATTCACATCGTCATCATCATCAACATCATCATTCACAATGTCATCATCACCCACATCGTCATAACCATTACATCATCATTCACATCGTCATCATCATCATCATTCACAATGTCATCATCATCAACATCATCATTCACAATGTCATCATCACCCACATCGTCATAACCATTACATCATCATTCACAATGTCATCATCATCAACATCATCATTCACATCGTCATCATCATCAACATCGTTATTATCATCCACATCGTCATCATCATCCACATCGTCATCATCATCCACATCGTCATCATCACCCACATCGTCATCATCATCCACATCGTTATTATCATCCACATCGTCATCATCATCCACATCGTCATCATCATCCACATTGTCATATTCATCCACATGCGGACCATGTGACATCTACAAGAATTACACCTACAAGTATTGCCTGCCTACCTGACTAAGCAGATCCAGGAAGTCATCAGTGAGGGTATTATTGACTGTCCACACCAGGTACTCTTCCATCGTGATGAAGCCATCCTGTGACACACACAACAGGGCAATCAGCAGCTACTCCAACACATGCAACATGTCCAAGGGTCAGCTCATATGGTCAGTGCATTGGCTCGACAGGTACACATTAAGCAATACCAATTTTTGTTTGTTTGTGGATTCAACCAACCAGAGCAAAAAAAACATATTGTTAAAATGAGCTACACAATTTTATAAAAAAGTAATATTCTGACCAACCCAAAATAAACATGGCAAATGGTTAGCAAAACTTTGTAATTCATACAATAGCAAAAGTATTATGTACTCAAGTCTGCATCTTCCGACAATGCTAAGCAGTCACATTAAACTTTCTCTACAAACATGGAAACATTATCAGGATGACCTGGGACTTGAACCCATGATCATAGCATTCTGGTATTCAAAAGGGACGTAACTCTGCACATAAAATTGCGTCTCTTTCGGTGAATGAGCCACCTTTGCCCCACTAGGGTGAAAACAAATGAAGGTATATCCTTGTCTCCTTCTACGAGCAGCAATGTCCTTCTGACTAAGGGCTCAGTTGGTACCACTGTGATTTTGGTTTGGGTTGTTGTTTTACGCTGCACTCAGCAATATTCCAGCTATATGACAGCAGTCTGTAAATAACTGAGTCTGGACCAAGCAATTCCATGATTGATATTATGAGCATCAATCCACGCAATTGGGATTGATGACATGCTTCAACCAAGTCAGCGAGCCTGACCACCCGATCCTGTTAGTCGCCTCTTATGACAAGAGTAGTTGCCTTCTACGGCAAGAATTGGTTGCTGAAGACCTATTCTACCCGGTACCACTGTGAGTGACTGTTGAGTATTGCACTGCTTTGAACAGTTACACCACGGAGTGTCAACATATTACAGGAGGAAAGGTCAAAGTGATATAGGTCATAGACGTTTACCACTTTGGAGAAACCCACTTGCATTGATATGGTGCTAACAGTTCAGGTTTTATAATCATTACAGTGGGATTTGAACCTATGATCAGCAGATCCTGGACAGCAAAAGGGACACAACTCTTCTCAGCAAATTGAAACACCTTCGACCAGTCCCCATGCACCAGATACATTGCTAATATTCTTACACAACACTGAAATGGGAATATTACAACACAGAAATATCTTCTCCACCATCTCCACCATTTGTCCACAACGCCACAAGGGAAGCAAGCATAGTAAAAATACAACACCAACGAAACGTATTTCTACATGACGGCAACTAAAGAGATATAACATCAGCAAAAGCATTAGAAAACTCGTGACGAAGAAATGAACCACAAATACAAAATATACACACAATGATCAGCACAAAACATTTGGAGCATGGCACAACGAACATAAAATATCTTGATCAACTAAAAGAGTAGCTTTGAATTCTGGTCAGAAGGCTGACATGACACGTTCATGGGCTAAACTGACTTGAGGGTGAGTCTATGTTTTGAGTCCAGTACTTGAATTGTCAATGAACAATGTACTGTCACTTGCAAAATTTCTTGACTCAATTTGTTCCCAATAAAGAGCTATTTCTTTTTAAAACCAAGAGAACCTTTTTTTCTTAGTCTTTAGGATTGATGGATGTGCTTAGAGCCCAACACTATATCACCATACTTTCAAAACAATTACAATTGTCACACATTCCCCTCCATAACCCATTCTTATAGAATCATAACTCATAGTTACCCAACCAAGAGAATTAAGACTGTTCAAATTCCTTCAATCAAAAGGTCCTATCAAATTGACACCACTGGGACAGTCCATGTCTAAAGAGGAAGGTAGGATAACTAGAAGCTTTGTTCAACAAAGCAAACTTTCTGTAATTACTATCACACTTTAGGATCACATAACGATAATGAAACTCTGAGATGAGACTTCTTTGGCTTTGACATGCAACTATTCAATACATGCAAGGTCTCTTATCACCCCTTCAATGGAAATGCACTCAACCAACATGGCTGCAAAATTCAGGGGAAGCAACTCCTGATTTCATGCTGGAGTCCACCGGGGTGATGTCCCCTGAGTTTTGCAGGTGCATGTAACCCTACTGTGGTCAAAGATGGCCCTTATTTCACACAATTATTTCAAATCTGATTGACTACAGTGACTTACAGAAGCCAGATATTTAAAGATGGACTACCACTGCTAATTTATATGGCCATGCAAAAAGTGAAGCTCTACCTTATCAGTGTCTAAACTTGACATAATCTCATTGGAAACGACCTCAGGGTCAAGGACAGGCATATCTTCTGCTTCCTGTAAGAGGTACAGAGAAGAGTTAAGAGAAAGTCGAGATGATGCAATGATCAAATAATCAATAGAGTTTCAGCCTTTTGTTTTTAAGTTCAACAGAATATTGATTTAATTAATTGGGTCAATCACTTTTTAACAGTAGCTTAAAGCTAGTTTACAAAATATTACATGAAAAACATTGTAAAAACTTAACTTTTCATATTCCAAAAGTCATCCAAAATATGAATGTGAAATTGACACCCCTGTTAAGATTAGAACAAATGTCTTGCAGTATTTAACACCAAAATTCTTGACTAAGAACAAGGTCAATGCTGTTTGTCGATCCTAAACTATCATATTAAGAACTGTTCAGAAACTTTAAGATGCTACACAATCTTAACAGCTGAAGACATCAAGGCTGAAACTCTGGAGATTAAATCACCATGGCCAAATGGGGGTGTTATGAGAGGGAGGGCGCCTACATAGGTGCACTAAACACAGAAATTATAATATCAAAAAAAAGATTATTTGTGAAACTTGATTTAAATTACAAATTTGGTGATATACTGTAAGCTTTGTGCTCAAAAGACTGTACAAATTGTTACAATAATGCTTGCAGACAAACTAAAAAATACAATACTTCAGAGAAAATTTAAAGTAGGACATTAATATCTTAAATATAACATGTGCAATGAAAGTGCAAAAATATTTAATATTCCATATTAAAAGTTGCATATATTTACATGATCAGCATGTTTATCAAAGATAATTTTTCATGTCAATAATGAAACGTAATTTCTGCCATAGAAAGAACTGTCATACATCCATGTACGGGTATATAACATGTCCACGCGCCAGCCTGGCCAGAACAGCCAGTGCCAAAGTCCAAGCAGGAGTTAACAAGCAGATTATTTTCTTGCAAACAATATGGAATGGACATATTTTTGTAATAAGATCTTGTTTACATCAGGAAGATCACAGTGCAAACAGAGTATTTACATCATTCTGGTTCCAGGCACAGGACATTGACACTGGATGTTCTGAATAACCCCATAGAAAACAAAGTGGTCAAAATGTTGCAATATCACTTCTGAAAAAATATTCTTTGACTTTGTGTATCAGATGATTGAGCAATGTGCTAGATGACAGGCTTCAAACACAGCTCCCATTCCTGGGTTTTTACAATGAAGAGTAAATGCCATTGGCTACTCATGTCACTGAAGGCAGCTTAAACGCTTAACATTTTAGTTCCATTAAAGAATATTTCGTTCAGGAGTGATATGCAGATTTCTCATAGGGCAGCTAAGGTGGAAGTTCCTAGGTTCTACATTCCTGACATCGGCACACAGAGCTGAAGATCCCACAGATGAAGATATCAACTTTCACCTTCTTCTTGTACAAGTCTACACCTCTAAATAATTTATTTTGAAGAAGCATTCTTTTATCGAACAATTTATACTTTTAAAGATCACTGATATTACACTTGTTAAATATTGCATTGATTTCATGAAAACATGATCACTTATGCATGTCCTGTCACCATTTCATTACAATCACTTTCATAAAAACATAATCACATTTTGTCAATATTTCATCAAAATTATTTATTTCGAAACATGAATTGTTGAAATATTTCACAACTTAGCATTAAGCCTAAACCCACTATTTAATCCCCATAACAGAAAATGAATTGAAATATAGACTTTTGTTCATATTAAATAGGTGTTAATATCTCTTGTGAGTTCTGTCAACTTTGTGCAACGAGTCTGAAACACTACAAGCAACAACTGAGGTCATTTCAAAGACTGAGGTCATTTCTAAGGCTGAGGTCATTTCTAGTGCTGTAGTGACAGGCAACTGACCAGGGCGGCAGGGGACTTGTACTCTCTCCGGACAACATCCAGTGCAAACAGCATTGACTTGACATCCTCCGCTGACAACTTGCCGTCATGGTCCTTGTCAAACACCTTGAAACAGACTAAAAAAGACAGACGTCATCATGTTCTCACAGCCACCACTACATTGTAGTCAATGGAATAAGCACCAACATGGTCTTAGTTTAATGAAAAAGAGGTATAAATATATACACTTCTCAAAACATGTTAAATAACACCCACTATTGGAAGGCTGTGTGTTAGAATACTCACCAAAGTGAACTAAAATGAATCGGGTTAGCATATTGGTTGGTTGGTTGGTTTATTGTTTAACGCCGCTCTCAGCAATATTCCAGCTATATGACGGCGGTCTGTAAATAACTGAGTCTGGACCAGGCAATCCAGTGATTGATATCATGAGCATCAATCCACGCAATTGGGATCGATGACATGTATCAACCAAGTCAGCGAGCCTGACCACCCCATCCCGTTAGTCGCCTCTTACGACAAGTATAGTCGCCTTTTACAGAAATCATTGGTTGCTGAAGACCTATTCTACCCCGGATCTTCACAGTTATATATTATATTAAGCGCCCTGCTCCTATGAGCACCACTGAACAACTTGTAGACCAATCTGTAAGTAATCTTTATAAGCACCCCCTACCAAGACCGTAAATTGACAATGAAGTCTGTATTTTCTTGATGGTGTAATCAACATTTTTAACCAAAAAACCAAGAAGGGCCTGATTCCAACAAGAGGGAAATCAGCGAGAGTTGATTGTGGCTTTTGACTTCAGTCTGTCGAATCCTTAACTGAAAAGTAAAAGTGTGTTGCCAAGCAACTGTGAGTTGCTGCTGTTTGTGACTTACACTTCTGTCTCTCTGTGGAGGGTCCCCTACAGCAGGCGGAGATGCCACAGGCCATCTCCTTGAAGTCAATGTGATTGTCGCGGTTTTCATCAAACGCCAGAAATAAACCTGAAACAGATGACACCCATAGTCGGGATAATTTTATATGTCCCTTCTATTACAGTACTCTGGACAGATTCTCACCAAAGCATTGGCTCAGAATGGATGTCACCTTCTCAATCATTAACATCACTAATTCAGCAAAGAATTTCCTTAATTCATGACTGTAAAATGATTGGATGACTCATCATGTATCATGTATCAGAGCATCATGTAGTCAGAATCAGACTCAAAACAAAGTGAATGGGTCCAGCGTATTATTCATAAGGCTAAAAATAATAATAGTCTTGGTTTTCAGGCACCGCCCGCATCATCATAAAGTCGCACCTTATATTTCCATATAAAAACATAAAAAAAAATCTTTGAATATTCCGCATCTTGAACACACGACCCCAGCAGTGAAATGCTACAGTACTTAAGAACATGATTTTGCCGAAATAATTGCAAACAAAATTAAGTTACATACTTGCTTGAACAACCCCCCAAAAAGAAACCACCGCCCGCACTACCTTTTCAAAAGCCATTGCCCGAGAACTAATTCTTGTATTTATTAAGCCTAATAGAACGGGGATATAATATTCCAGACAGTAGTGGATGTACTACAAATGGATGTAAAGATTCCTGTGCTGCATCCACCAGCAGCCGTTTTCTTCTCTCGTCACTGACAGACACAAAGTGTCAACCAAATTACTCCACAGCTCATTTCCGACAAGCAGTTTACATTACAAAACTACAAATTTTGGGAAATCAGGCAAATCGATTTTTGAGGCTTATAATAACATGTTCATTGTAGAAGAAATACCTTCACAAAGTATCTCCGGCAGAGGTGGACACACAAACAACTTGAATGTGTCGAGATCAAATCGGCCACTCTTGGACTGTGCCTTGAGAACCCAGTAGCGCTTCTCTAGCTCGCTGATGTCCGTCTCCTCCACTGCCAATCAGGAAACGATCACACATCAAAGGGGGACTATATACCATTAGTCTGACAGGTTGTAATGCCTTTTTTTTTATTCACACTTGCTCAGCAGTGAGCGAGTGAGTGAGAAATCTGTGTTATCTGCCGCTTGTAGTAACATATCTTCCATATCAAGGAAGGGAGACAAGGTAGACACAATTTTATGGATAACAACTTCTTTAATACTGTAAAAAGTGACGTTTCGGTAGAGATCCTTATCCCAGTGTCAAGCAAGACTGAAAGAGGGACATTGTACAGAAATATATAGTAGGTGGAGGATTAACAATATTGACACCCACTTCACCAGCTCCAACTCCCTCCAAACCCTGCTGAGAGCCAACGGCAGGAACACAACCAAACCCCAAGAGCCTAAAGGTGTAGTTTACAAAATTGACTGCAACTGTGGAAAATCTTATGTAGGTGAAACATCCCGCCCTATCAACACCAGAATCAAAGAGCACAAAACCTCAACCATTAAATTAATATTATCCTTCCGTTGTCAACACTTACTCATGTATGCAATTGTTGTTACTGTTAATCCTCTACTGTTCATCCTCCACCTACTATATATATTCTGTACTAAGTCCCTCTTTCAGTCTTGACAATGGTATAATATCTATACCGAAACGTCACTTTTTACAGTATTAAAGAAGTTGTTACCCATAAAATTGTGTAGTTATTTCTAATTATTGCCTATCAAACAATTTAAGGAAGGGAGATGCTTGGGGAACCAATGATTTAACCAACAGGCTACCCAACTGCCCCATTTTGCTCTAGACTAGAGAAGCGTGCTGAACTACACTGAAACTGGGAAATTCCCAACATCAGTTTAACATTAACTTTATATTCATAGAGAATATATATATATAAAATATGCAAGTAAAGTACTTACAGTGTGTGACACCGGCAAGTGTCTGGTAGAAAGTGGGTGTGTCCATGTCATTGGACAGTGAGATCGTGCTAGGCTCCATCAAGAGCCATGTGGTGATGATTGTTGCATCCGGATGTCCTCGCACCCAGTTGTAGAAAGCGTCAAACCCAACTTGATCACTCTGCAAAGAAAAAAAGACCGGCCTCAAAATATGTATATGTAATAATATATATTCATATTGTATATTTTTGCTGATGTCATGGCTTGTAGATTTGACAGTTACTTCACTTAAAATAGGGTTAAATGCTTAATGTTACTTTATTTCATTGGATGCAAAGCTAAAAACCTCAGAAATTAAGAAAATTTAACTTTAAAAATTCCCAATTTTAAACAAAGAATGTAGTTTTTCCCAAATTGTCTATGAAGTGTACTTGGTTTGAAATCCTAGATAAATTCCTTTGTAAGTAATTCACACAACCTGTAGGTATTTGTTTTACTTTTAAAGTTTTTAGAAAGAAGTACCTGTTAAATGTGCTTCCACCCAGGGTAGCAGAAAGCCCACGACATGAAGCACAACTTATCAGTACATCTTCTACATTCTTCTCACTCACACATTCACTCTACTAATACAAACATACTGCATATATCAAGTATGCATAAACTATTAAAGCTTATATATCATATTGCAGTGTAGGAAAGTACATGGTCTCAAGCATTAAAGTACAAAACTAAAATCAAATTGAAAGCTGCTCCTCCTTTTCGAAAAGTTTATGATACAGCATCCAAGCACCGTATAATTTCTGTTGACTACCTGTCTTGAAAGCAATATCTTTTTCAATGTTAGATCATGAAAAAGATTCATTTTTATAAACATGAAAAAAAGGTTTTACATTTTGGAATTTGCATCTATAAATATAGGATTTTGCAATTAGTAAAACTTGATCAAACACTTCTCTTATGTTCTCTTTAACTCCAAAAAGTATAAATTCTGCATAAAATGTCATATTATAACCTGTAGGTAAAATGATACAGATTACAGATGACCATCAAGATAAAACACAGTGATCTGACCTCTCTGAACAGCGATGAGAGAGCAGTGGAGACCTGTCCCTCTGTTTCTAGGATCCGTCGATCCATCTCATCCTTCTGTACGAAGCTGTAGCTTTCATCAGCATACATGCCAAAGATTACTGGAAAAACAGACATACAGCAATAAGGTTCTGTAGCTCACCTCACTTATAAAGACAGAATCGTTGCCAAGTTGAAATTTGGACTGGAATTTTGTGAGCTTTATTAGCCCCCAAAGCTGGAATCATTCATATACAGGGTTAGAATTTAATTTTTTTAGGCACAAGCAAATTTTTGCTTGTGGTTTTAAAAGTTACAAGCAAAATCAAAAATCAACAAGCAATTATTTTTTCTCAACTCAAAACTTCAAAATATATATCACAAGATTGCATGATCGTGATTTATGCTGCATATAAATAATGGCTGATTATGCATGTTATGACATTCAGATAACAAAGTAATTAAATTTCACTCATAAAACATTTATCAAAGAAAATATCTGCATGTTTGTAAAACATCTTTGCTAGCACATATTATACACCATTTCAAGTTCCAATCCTGTTGTTTATAAAATATGTTATGTTTATCACATTATTTAGATAATGCATTTACAACTTAATTATGTTCGTTGTAAATAAAGAAAGAAAATGTAAGCTAACACATTCATAACGTCCAGATTAAGGACCAAGGAAGCGCAAAATTGACGATTTTCGCAAACAGAATCTATAAGATTTCATAAAAAACACAATTGGAAAAAAATATTTTAAAAAGAATTGTAAATAGATCTGGTATCTGCCATCACCCATTTCCCGATAACAGCGGCTGTTCGTTCAGTAACATGAAGAGATACCTCCGTTTTCATATAACACGGTCGTCGAAGACTGCCATGTGACACATCGCTAGAAAGCTTTGATAAAATTGGTTTCTAATGACTCTGTCTTTGCCAAAATCTGCTACAAGGTTCGTGACTGGTCAAATCTGAGCACGTGACCTAAGTCGGCCAATCAAATTACATCTATGATCTGATAAATTTCAGAATTTGACGAAAGACTTTTGTTAAATCGTGTTATTCTAAAAGTTTTCAGCAGGAAATTGCGATCTATATTAAAAATATGGAACTTCATAGATGTATCGTGCCAGGTTACGAGCTGTGACAAAGATTTTTCATGCTTATATTTTTGCATTAAACATCGTCTCCGAACCGAGGAAATTGAGACGACGAAAGCCGAGATGTCATTTGACTTACATTACACGCGATCGCACGAAAAGATTGAAATAATAACTTAAATGTAAGTCTGACAACTTTAAGATATATTTTTAAAATTTTATCTATTACTTTGTATAATATATAGCTTGAAAAGTCTTTACATTGCTCTTTGACATGTTCGCTGTGGACCCGTTGTCGAAAAGTGTTTTCGAGATTTTATTTTCAATAACATTGCGGGAATAGTGAATAGTTTTTTAATTCATCGATAAGAAATGATAAATTGAAATGGAATACGTATTTCAGACATTGTGAAATGTGATAGATTAAATAAATGAATCATAGGACAGGTAGGTTAATAAAATTATATATACTATTTTGACGTGACTACGGCTTCGTCAGTCAACCGGCCTACGGGTGTCGTCTGGTATTCGAGGATGGCATGTCAACTTAAAATAAGAAACGACCTTGGGTCAATTGAATAAATTACCGATGACATAGTTTTTACGGCATTTGATTGGTCTCCCGAAAATAGACAAACCTCATTTGCATAATATTAAGCTCCGTGCTATATGTTCATTGGTCAAAAAGAGCTCGGAATAGTCCGCGTTCACGAAAGTTGAAAAGAAGTAAAAGGTTTTCCCGGAAACGCGAATGGGGAGGTAACTCTAAATTGGAGGTAAACAAATCAAGGAAAATCTTCGCGAATTTAAATGTTATCACAGTGAATTTAGAAACTTAGGTATTTCTCAACCAATTGTTAAACGGGGAAAAAGCAAGACGCAAAAAATATCGTCTTTATTTTGATTTATAGACGCAAAATCATAAATTAAGACGCATTTTGCGTCTTAGCGTCCCTTAATTTCGAACCCTGATATAGCTTTACAGACTTTGCAGTTTCAGAACATCAACAAAGCAGTAAGACCAAAGGCCACAGCTTGATAAAAAATGAAACTCTGAATGTAATTTGGTATACCACATACTGTATTCGACATAAAAGGCGCCAAGCTCTAATAAGCTATGTGCTAATATATTGGCTAGTGAACAATCCCAATTTGCACCCCTTCCGATTGATCACCCCTTCTGATTGATCAATGTTCACAAGACATATTTATTCGTGTATAATACGCACTCATGTGTTATATGCACCCATAATTATGTGCAATTAAATCCTGGAAAAATATATCAGTCTAAATAAACATTTCAGGCTGTCAGCATAAACCATGAAATTTACGATCTTTCAACTCTATTTATTTCACCAAAATAATATTCTAATAAGAGCCCCCTATTTCTAATTTTGAGAGCGCTCTGGGGGCTTATTACGTCGAATACGGTTCTTGCTACCACTCAAATCTCACAATGACACATTCAGAAATAGATGAGTTATGACATTTTAATATGGCCACCGTGGCAGTCATGTTTAAAATCAAATGGGAATTCTTTCAGCACTATTTAGAGACACCACAAGTTGGGCATCTTTCATACACAGTTTAAGCTCCATAGGCCTTGTAGTTTCAGAGACATTGAAACTGCAGTGAGACTGGAGTGAAAATAGTATGCCACATGCCTATTTCAAGCATCTTGGGTATTATACTCACATTTGATCTTCTCCTCGCGGGTGCCCTTGGTGAGAACGACTAGACCACACAGCAGATCCTTGTAAGACAGGCCCTTGCTGATGCCACCTATGCCCTTGTAGATCAGCTGCAAGACCAGGGGGGATAACTGATGAAGCTTGCACAAGGGGAGAATAACTGCTCCTCCCAACGAGGAAGATAACTGCTGATGTTTGCACAAGTGGAAATAATTGCTACTCCCAACAAGGAAGATAACTGCTGATGTTTGCACAAGGGGAGATAATTGCTACTCCCAACAAGGAAGATAACTGCTGATGTTTGCACAAGGGGAGATAATTGCTACTTCCAACAAGGAAGATATCTGCTGATGGTTGCACAAGTGGAAATAATTGCTACTCCCAACAAGGAAGATAACTGCTGATGTTTGCACAAGGGGAGATAATTGCTACTCCCAACAAGGAAGATAACTGCTGATGTTTGCACAAGGGGAGATAATTGCTACTCCCAACAAGGAAGATAACTGCTGATGTTTGCACAAGGGGAGATAATTGCTACTTCCAACAAGGAAGATATCTGCTGATGTTTGCACAAGGGGAGATAATTGCTACTCCCAACAAGGAAGATATCTGCTGATGTTTGCACAAGGGGAAATAATTGCTACTCCCAACAAGGAAACATAACTTCTGATGTTTGCACAAGGGGAGGTAATCACTGCTGTTTCCACATGCAAAGTGAAACTTTTACAAGTCTGGCTTATGTACACAAATCCTTTTTACTGCCACAATCATTTTCAATATTTCAAAATTATGATGATGTATCAAATTAATTTAATACTACATTTACTTGATCAAAATGCCATTGTGATTGAAAAGTAAACCTCCAGCTGGGACCTCCTCAAAAAGTCGTCTCATGAGAGTATGCAACTGACTTGCATTGATACCAGTTTTCGTTCAAGACCATGGCATTGCCACAAATCAGCATCAATGTTATTTATGAAAGTAGGGAACATAGTTCCAATCCAGTCAATATCAAATCATAAACAAAACTCTTTCTTATACAGTGAATTTGCTAGGTACAAGTGTCATTAGGAAGTTTTCATGATTTTAGAAAATTTTAGAAAACAAACCGAACTGAAAACCTGCTTGCAGCATCAACATTTGTCACCATCCTTCACTTGCCCGACTATTTACATCAAAGGTGATCAGTATGTATACAATATGAAGAGAAACATGCTCTATCTCATTGCAGGACACCTTTTATTAACCTTCCAGGTTATAGTGTAGGGAATGAGTTTTACCCTGCAAGGAGTTATGACAAGGTGTTTAGGTGGACATGTTGAGTGCAGTACTTGGCTTATACTAGGTAAAGCTCTAAACAAGCTGATCAATTTATTGACAAAACAGGGGTGGGAAGGGTCTCAAGACAGGTCTATTTTTGTTCGAATAGATCACAAAAAAGATGTGGCAAATCACGCATATCGGATAATGATTCTGATATCTGAAAGCAATGGAAATTATATGCGTAGTCGATGAAGATTTACTGACACTCTTGCTCCGATACACACTATAAAAACACCAACAGTTCTTAAGTTAGGTACCATATTCACCCTAATAAGCCTTCTACTCCATTTAGCGTCCCCTGATCAATCTGTAAGTAATCTTTGAAAGTGCCCTGTACAAGGCCTGGAAATGTATGACAGTCCATATTTGGATGTATATATTACAGCTTTTTGTATAGAAAACACAGCTGTCTAGAAAGCAATGTATGTAACTGCCAAGTAATTATTATCAAAACAGTGTTACTTTCGTCGACAATGAGTTACCTACCACTCAACCCTAAACAAGTTTAACGTGTATGGTTTAAATAAGCACCATCTGTTGTGAATTGTCTAAGGACCCGGAGTGATTATTGTGGCAAATACAGTGTGGGACATGTCCAAATATTGCACTTTGTACAGAGTCACAGTTTATTGCTGCTCATCACAATCACCCCTGATAAAAATGGCATGAAGAGGTTACCATGGCAACAATGGCAGAAGCCCAAACAGTTGAGTAAATGGACGACAGTAAACCTTAACTAAAAACTGTGGGTGTTCTAATTACACACCCTTCAAACATGTTCAAATACAAAATTGAATTAAATCAATTAGCCCTGTTTACAATCAGCCTGAACTACAAGGTAAAAATACTAAAAACTTATTAGTGACAAATTTGTTAGCGTGAGTGAGTTTATTTAACAGTTTTGCAGTTATATCAAGATGTGTGAGGTTAATGTGGGAAGTGATGCAGGTCTCAGATGTTTACCACTTTGGTGAAACCCACAAGCACGGGTATGATGCTGACAAAACTAGAAACATAATCATAGGGCCTACAATCACAGGTTCCTGGCATGCCCAAGGGAAGCAACTCTATACAGCGAATTGCAGCACCTTGGACAGCTGGGCCACCCGTGCACCCTCACATTTGTTAGAGGCACCCAATATAGAATTACGGCGATCAGAAAAGCACTACTAGCATGGTTGGCCAAACCACGAACTGGAAGTACGGCTTACCTGTGCTAACTTTGGAGGAACGCCATCCCATAAGACCTCCCTGATAAACAGGTTCTCTGTCATGTAGCCTCCCAGGGTGGAGGCTCGCTTGAAGGCCTCCTTGAGCCGCTTCGTCTCATTGTCATTTACTGAAATGTAAAGAAGCCAGTTCAGTTATGGTCACTTCCTGCTCCTCTGAGATTCAAACCCTGCTGTCTTTGTGTCTATTTGCTATATGAATGCGACCCGTGAAGATTCGGGGTAGAATAGGTCTTCAGCAACCCAAAAAGGGACTATGCTTGTCGTAAGAGGCGACTAACGGGATCGGGTGGTCAGGCTCGCTGACTTGGTTGATGCATGTCATCTATCCCAATTGCGTGAATCGATGTTCATGATGTCAATCACTGGATTGTCTGGTCCATCATATAGCTGGAATATTGCTGAGTACAGCGTAAAACAACAAACAAACAACCAAAAAAACTATATGAATGCACCAGCTACTGGGCTAACCAATCTCATTAAATCATACATTTTACACCCATACCTCAGTTCACAAAAATCAGTCAAACCCTAAACAAGATGTTGTGTCAGGTGAACTTTCAAACCTGTCTGTCAGCATGAAGTCTTAAAAAGTCTTACTGCATGTGAACAAAATATTGGGAGCCCTTGTGGTACAAGAGCAGGGGTGCCCCGTTGCATCAAGAGTTTTCATGCAACGATACGCTACATGATAAGTTGGTTTTTATGACAAAAGAGAATACACTTGCTAGTAGCAATCATAGTTTAATGACATCAAGCATTTTTGTCAGCATGGTCAGTCAATTATCGAAAAATGTGTTGTAATTAGGACTTCAAATTACTTCAGCTAGCTTTACCTTTTGAACCTGCTCTAAAATAATTTCAGTCAAGAAGTTTCCATGCGTTTTGACATAAACAATGATAAATATGCGCATCATGATATGAATCATATCATGACCTTCATATCGTGAAACATATCGTATCATGACCTTTCTGTATCGTTTCACCCCTGTACAAGACGTACACTTTGTGGTTGAAAAGGCACACAAGGATAAGGATAGGTGAGTGATATATCGCTGATTGTCGGATCCATCTTCAAACTTGGAGAACTGAATGCGAATAACCAATCAACTAGACCATAAGCAGCTGTAATTTAGAAAATTTCCTTTCCTTTCCATCGAGATTGAGAATACTTTCTGAATCGGAAGATTTATTTTATTAATCATCACGATCAAACAGTCATTACACAAGTATTTCATCATTCCAAAAAACATCTATAATCTGCTACAAATAAGGAACAATGCCACAGTGTAATTAGGTCTACAAAGATAAGATACGAGTTTTATGTGCTCCCTTCAGCATGCTACGGGGAACTTGTTTTCCCCAGGTCAATGTGCCCTAATGCAAGGAAGTTTGAAACCTGAATATCAAAGGTAATCACTGACGTCATGCTACCTTCTCGATAGAATCAATAGAAATTACAGACATAAATATATGTAAAAAAATGTTAATCACTAATTTTTCATTCCTATTTATCCATTCCAAATGCCATGCAAATATCCATTCACTGATTCACAAGAGTTCATAGAGTTTATGTCGTTGTATACGAGTGTGTGCTAGAATCTGATGGGTTGTTAAAATCTTTCCGACTTTTCACTTCATATGAACACTTTTTCTCAAAATGCTCAATCCTGAATTTTGAAAACATCATTTGGCTTGAAAAAATGGAAATATGTCAAACAAATCTTAAATATGAACAATATTTATCGGAACAATTTTGAAGTTAGAATGGTTTTTTTCCCACATTTTGCAAACATGGCTAAGAAGGCGAGTTCAGTTATATTACAGAAGCATTGTATCTGCTAATGCGTTAGGGTCAAAAGAAATTTCTAGGCATAGAATACTCAATAACATCCTCCAGGGTCCCATTCCACTAAGCGATATTAGCGCTAAGACGATCGTAACTCTAATACTTTATCATAGACTGACAGTCGTAGATGGACAGTCGTTTTTGGGGACAGGAATTTCAAGCCAGCTTCTGCAATTCCAAGGACATGGTGGACGTGCAAGTAAACCTTCACTGAGAGTAGGTTTGTTTGTTTGTTTGTTTGTTTGTTTGTTTGTAATAATACACTAAATAATATTCCAGCTATATGACAGTGCTCTGTAAATAATCGAGTCTGGACCAGACAATCCAGTGATTGATATCATGAGCAGCTATGCAGCTAGGATACGATGACATGTATCAACCAAGTCAGCAAGCCTGACCACCCGATCCTGTTAGTTGCCTCTGCATAGTCACCTTTAACGGCAAGCATGGGTTGCTGAAGACCTGTTCTCTACCAATATTTTGCGATACGTAAGGTTGTATTGTGATTTGTATCACACTATGTATAATTATAAAGTTTGAATTCAGAAGCAATCTGAAACAGCAAGGTATGAATTGAAGTTCATAAATGGAACAAAACAAGATGCTGGTACAACATTTGCCCATCTTGGGGCCCTGGATGCATACTCCGGGGCAGCGTAAGTATTTGGCAAGTGTATAACATTAAACACATGATAAAAATGGCTATTTGAAATCACCAGATATACCAAGGATTTAAAAATGATATTGTGATGTGTAGCATGTGTAGTGGAAGGAATGAACCTCAATTTACTAAAGTACCAGTAATACTGCAAACCCTTAGAAAAGACCCATGTGGATCCTGGGTAATATTTTGGTCCCCAGCAACCTATGTTGGTCGTGAGAGGGCGACTAAATGGTCACGTGTCACGTTGTGATGTCAATCACAGGATTGTCTGGATTCAATTAATTACAGATTGCTGGGATATAGCTGGAATATTGCTGAGTGCATTGTTAAAAAACAACACAGAAAACAGGGCTAGAAATGTATTGTTTTCAAGTGTGCCGCAGGCAGCTCACAAAGACAGTGGGTTTGAACTTAGGAACTCGGTAATCTCGTTTCAGCGAGGCTAAATGACTCTTGTAAGGGTGCCCTTAAGCATAATGTTCAGGCACCAGGAACTAATTTATCTGTGCAATCGACACTAAAATACAAGTAATGTCATGCCCTTCAAAATAGCTGTACTACAGTTGACATTGTATCTTTCCGTCCCCTGAATGAGTGAGTGAGTGACAACTTCCTGAGACAAGGCAATTACATTACTATATCCATGATAACTTTGACTGGACTACTGAGTCTATGCACAGTCCCATAAAAAAATCTGCCGTGCAGATTACAGTCAATTGTATCGCCCACTGCACTTTGACAGATATTCATTAAAGATCTTGATTATCAATCAATTTGTCTTGATTCAGCACCGCCATTATGAGTGAGGCAAATTCAAGTGATGTGGAATCTGATTGTCAATAGGAGGTACCGTATTTTCTTGAGTATAGTGCGCACTTTTTTCGAAAAAACACAGCTGTGTAGAAGGGGGTGCGCATTATATACGAATTATGAGTTTGGATGTTTTTTCCCCCCATGGAAAGACATTACCGTGAGCACAAAACACCAGAAATACCATGTCAACAAATCCATACTGAAGTACGCAAAATAATCATGTAATTACACTGTCTGGCTATAAAAAGTGTTCTTTGTATATCTGGACTTATGTTTGTAACTTATTTCATTAATTTTATTCAAAATTCCTCTTAATTTTGTTTTTATTAATTTCGGCGAAATCGTGTGTGAAGCGATCGGAAGTTTGCCCAACTCATCGTTATTAACAGCAACCACGGTCAGAATACCGCTATTGACGCCTATTGATACATATATCATAAATGACATTCTTTGACTCGTTAAAAGTCATATTTGTTTTTGTTTGACGATTCTATGTCAACAGGAAATTCTCGCGATCACGAGATCATGTGCGTGAGCATTGACGGTGACTGGTCAGACTGGTTCAATGTAAAAAATAATACCCGGAAATAGCGATCAGCTGCTTCGCTTAGGGTTATTATTATTTTAAATATGTTTAGTAAAGGCTACATATAATTAAGAAAATAATGGAATATATTATTCCTGATAAAAGAAATAGTTTCAGATACAATTGTTGCCGATCCTTGCAATTAAAAGTCCTATAAAGTTATATCATTGGGTGTGTCTTGACCGAATCACCGGTCGATTCCAAGAAAACGTGTGTACAGCTGACTGCTGTTTCCGGCTTAGTTTACGAGAAAATACACAAGGTAATCTTAATCCCTAGATATAAAACAATGCCTAGCAGAACAATAAATACTATTTAAACGGTAAATAAACATGTCTGGTGATTTTTTATCTCAAATTTCGAATTTGTACTGACGAAGTTTCTCATCACCCGTTCGTTTGGCGGACTTTGCTGAAAGGGTACGGTGTAATGTTTTTCTGCGCATAATATTCAAATTTCTTTTTTTCCAAAATCTTGAACCCGCTAGAGGGGGCTGCGCATTATACATGGGTGCGCACTATAGAAGTATATATAGAAGGGACATAACTCCTAATAGCCACTGGTGGCGCTACAATTAAGCCTTGAAATTCCAGTCTATATTGGGAAGGGTGGAAACGGGACCTTCCCAGTCGGTTAACTCCATGGCCTCGGTGAGTGAGTGAGTGAGTGTCATTAAACGGTTGCTAGGCAGGTAACGCAAGACCCGTTTCTTACTCTTGCTTACTGTCATAAAAGACTGCCTCAATCTATTTCAAGGCATAAGCTTTCTCATGATCCAATTGATTGATTAGCCATTCTAAATGATTCATAAGAATACCACTCTAGTATATTGATCCATGCTGTGGTGAGCAGGTCATCCCACATGGTGTCTCACTTAAACCGTGGATATCAGCTTGGCTCTACAAATGTCAAAACATTTCCGTTGAGTCAAGAATAACTTAAACAACTAAGCAAATATCCATTCACTGATTCACAAGAGTTCATAGAGTTTATGTCACGTCATGACAGATTAACTGTAGTAACATGAAAGAATCGGGTAGTCATGCCATGACAGATTAACTGTAGTAACATGAAAGAATCGGCAGATAGTCATGTCATGACAGATTAACTGTAGTAACATGAAAGAATCGGGTAGTCATGCCATGACAGATTAACTGTAGTGACATGAAAGAATCGGCAGATAGTCATGTCATGACAG